CACCTTGGTGGTGCGCGTTTTGCGCCATTGCGAAGTTTTCTTTGTTGTTGTTGTTGTCTCCTCTTCCTCAATGACGTCATTGTCGTTGACGCTCTTGTCATTGGCAGTGTCTGCCATATTGTTGAGTGTTTATGTTTGTGTTTTAATCCTGAGAGGTGACAAGTGTTATCCTTATCCTTATCCTTATCTTCAACCTTGCAAAAGATGCGTTCGCTGTGTTTTTGTTTGTTAATTTGTGAGTTTATTTCATGGCTCTTAGGAATTTCTTTGGCACTTGAACACGAACAACTTTTCAACTTCTACTTCTCTTCTTCTTTATTATTTACTCAATTTATGTGGACACTTTTCTTATTTTGTTCTCACTCATTTTCACTGGAAACACATCATGATATTAATTCGATGCGATATTTTTGAGCATATATATGAAAAATATAACGCAATCTGCTAATTCGACTTTTAATTTATTATTGCAGCTGCCTTGACGCGTATTTTGGCCAGCAATTTGTTTTGTTATTAAATAAAAACGAATTGTTTGCATAGTATGCATAGATATAATTAATGAAAGTATAAAAAGAAAATATAAATAATCGCTGCTTGCTAAAAGAATTTCGAATTCAAACATCAAAAATTATAGCCACAAATAAGAAGAGAAAAAAAATAAAAGAAAATATGAAAATTTTTCTATAAATATGCGGGTGAAATACAAATCATAAACTTTCAAAAAGAACTTGGCTTTTTATTCAATAAAAATGTAATTTCAATAAGAACTTGCGGTCTCTACAATTTGATGGCCAAGTTTAAACCAAATCAAAGCAACGCACAGCCCATTGGGAGCTGCATAGTGCTACTTAAGCAGCACCGGACATTGTGGCTTTACACGCACACACACACACACTCCTTCAATAGTTGAAAGCAATTTCTATTTGTGGAATTCCCATTTGCCATTTAACTCGAAAACTATTTATGTGCGCCCAACTCACAAAGTTGGCCAAAATACAAGACAAGCGAGCAGGTGGCCAAATGAGCTCGACAGCCAGGCAGATTAAAAGCAGATCCAAATGGAGTATACAAAAAGCAAAAAAAGGGGAGTATTATAAAAAAATTTAAAAATGATGTCGGTAAATGTAAAGACACGTCTGCCATTGTATTTGGTTTGTTTAAAAATAGAATTATTGAAGCCTTTTCCGCTGCCCGGCTTCAAATGCATTTTTCATGTGTTTTCGTGTAGCGTTTGATATCATTGTTAAATGTTGTTTTTTTTTTGCTATTGATTTTTTGTAGTGCACTGTTTTTATATATGTATGTGCTATGTATATTTGTTTTTGTACATGTATATTTTTTATAAGAGTTTTTGCTGCGGTTGTGTTTCATTGTTGTTGTTGTTGAGTTGCACTTGTTTTAGTTTTTGTTTTTTTTTGTACGTGTATTTTGGATTTTTGTTTTTTAGCATTTTTTGATAACGCGTGGGCGTTGTGTTGTTGTTTTTGTTTTTATTTTTGTTTTGTTGTATACCAGTAGAGTATATGCAGTGTTATTGTGTGGTTTTATCGCCTTCATATGCATGCAAATTTGAAATGCTAAAAATTCAACTGGGCCATCAGGCAGGCTGGCAGGCAGTCCACAATGGCAACAGAAACAGCAGCAGCAGCAGCAGACGCGCTCGCGCTCGCAACGAACTGAGTTTGCTTGATTTTCAGCTGAGGCAGTCAGCCAGCCAAGCAGTCAGCCCGAGGACTATTCAGGGTGGGGGCGTCTGTGTTCGAGGGTGTGAGGAAAGGGGGCCTGGTGAGAGGCAGCCGCTAATAGAGCGGCGCACACAATCAACACTTAATGTTGCCGCGGGGACGGAGCGGCAGACTAACACAATTTGCTCATAATCTTAAAAATGAAATGCTTCACAGAGACACACACACACGCACTTAAATATATATATATATGTGTGAGTGAGTGTGCGAATGTGTATGGCCACTTTAAATTATACACTTTTCAAAATGTGTGCGCAAAAATATTTGCCGCTTTACATTTTGGGTTCTTCTTTATATTATTATTATTCGCTTTCTTATTTCGTATTTCTTGCTCTTCGCTTTTTTTTGCGGGCCGTCAACGCGACGTATGCGTAATGTGAACGTTTGTATTCAGAAGGGGCGACGGCTGCCTATGCCGCTAGAGAGTGGAAAAGAATTGGCTTTCAACGAACTTGCGAATACGAAAACAGGTGAATATTTGTTGACCACACTCGCTTGAAAAATTATAGCGAATTCCTTAACATTTTTTTTCTTGGCCGCGCGCAAAAACATGAAAAACAAATTTCGACGGGAATTAGGCGATACGAAAAATATAAAAAAATGCGATTGTGATTTTATATGTCTAGCCGTAAAGACTCGCTTGCCATCAGCTCCGTGCGTTATGTGCTGCGCGTGGCACTCAACTGAACTGATCCGAAATGGACTGAACTGACGCTAGGATTTAGCTGTCGTTTACAGCTTCCAGCTTCTGGCTCCCGGGTCGCCTCTGGCATGCAGCTGGCCAGTTGCGCCGTTCTTGGCCTTTGTTTCTCACCTTTGTGTGCGCAGCGCATTGGTAGGCAAATTCTGCGTAAATATTTTAATGTTGTTTTTGTTTCGGTGCTGCTTGTTGTAAGTAAATCACGCGGCGCCTGTCGCCTTACAGTGGATAACCTTGTCGCGTGAACAGTTTATTGCGTTGCGAGCTTCGCTCGGCTATTTGTCACACGGTCTATTTATAGAGCAAATCATCTGCTCACGGGCCGAATTCACCTATATCGGCACACACAGACGTGCACACACATCTAAGAGCTATAGCTGTCTCCATAATTATCACAAATATTGCCAATTTCGATGGGGCCACCGTAAATCGTAGCCGCCGCTTGTCATTCTAAATGCTGACAATTTGCGTTGCAGCTAGCGGCCTGTCTTGGCCCGCTCACTGCTCGGCGCTAATTGTTCCCATCGATTTGCCTTGTAAATCTGCCATGGCCACACAGCAACTACAGCAGGCAGCCACTGTGGATGCGGATGTGACTCTTTGGCTGTGTGTCAATGGAGCTTGTCAAACTGTCAGCGTTTTTGCCTCGCAAACGCCAGGCCAGGCCAAGCCAAGCCAAGCCGTTTGCCGCAGAGTGCAACGGAAGCGAGCGCGCAGCACGAAAACCAATTAAAACATATTCAACTTTATCCGTTCTCGAACCGTTCAACTTGACATATTTCTAATTAATATACAACTAAATTAGTTTATTTTAGTCCCACGAAACTGAAACAAAAAAGCAAGAGTGAAGGTGTTTCGTTGTTTTGCTTATATTTATTTATATACGCAGCATGTGGAATTGGTTCTTTTTTGTTTTCTCCTTCTAAATATGCATCAATCTTAAAGAAAGAGCTATATATAGAAAGCATAAATAAAAAAGACCTTCCCAATCGCACTTTTGGATAGAGCCGTGAGCCAAAGCAAAGACAGTTTTCTAGCTTTTGTTTTTATTATTGTGTTAATTTTTGTATTAACAAATTGAAATAAACTTGCTTTGTGACTGGTTAAGCCTGCTAAATTATTTAAAACGAGCTGTTGTCTTTTAATTAATATAAAATCTTAAATTGCATTGACAACAGGCTGCCGCCATTGGCGCTAGACTAGAACCCTAAATCCTGGGCTGCTGCTGGACTGCTTGTCCCTTAAGCCGTATAATTAATTGTTTATTTTCACTCGCCAAGTTTATACAAAAGTTTCATCTCGAGTTTAGAGAATAAATGGCCGCTGCTGCTGCTGCCTACTCGTCTCTGCTCTCTTACAGCTGCTGCACAAAAATAAACAACAACAAACGAGCTGTAGGCTCAACGCCTGCTAAATATAACGCGTTGAAAACTGTTCCAAAAAAAGAAAGAAATAAAATATTATTTATAGCCAAAGCAACAAAGCAGCAACAGCAACATCTCATATACAAAATCGATGCGCGTTGAAATAATTTGGAATTTGAATACTTCTCGCCGCAACCGCTGCCTGTGTATTGGACAAAGATGTTTAAATGCACTTGTACAGGATATGCAAAAGGCAATATAAAGAAGTCATGTGTATTCTAAGAAGTAAATTTTGATCAAGTAACTTGTTGTGAAACGCAGTCAATTGCTATCGAAAGTTTTCTTACTGTGAGCCAAAACGGATTGGAACTGTAGTTCCACCTTTGGCTTTATTTATGAGCGAATGGCATGTGGCAGTCTGGCACAGTTTGGCCTAAAGCAATTTCAGATATTTTCTTTTTGGGGTCAGCAGATATTTGGTTCAGATCAATATGCCAACATATTTGCTTTTCAGTTGCATTCAGAAACAACAAGAATTGCCCGCAAGCATTAATATTCCAGCGATGTGAAAAGTTTTTTCTCCATTTATTGGCGTATCCGGCCCGAGGGCAACGGCTTCCATCGCTGGCTTCGGTTGCCCCTTCCGCCTGCTGTGAGTTTTTGTAAAAATAGTTGTTTGTAAACAAATGCAGACGGGGAACGAAAGTACTTTGACCTCGTCTCCGCTGAGCTGTCTGGGCACTGTGACTATATATCATTTTATCTAATTTACCTGTGAATCTCCGAATATACCTGCGCACAGTTTTACAGCCACTTCACATTAGTCTGGTGTGGTGAGTTTCGGTTCTCTTGGCAGGCAGCTGCGCCACGCCCACGCTTTCATGTCAGAAATGATCATTGACATTGTCGCGCTGAAGGTGTTTTACACCAATACACACATTCACACACAAACACAAACACAAACAACGCAAAGGTGCTCTCACAGGTGTCGGCAGCTAAGAGCACCTCAGAGGAGCTTTAGAAATGCTCTTCCCAGTACACTAATTGGCTCTTTGACACACACACACACACTTACACACACACCTGCTGCTCCCCGAGTGGCGATTGGAAGAGTGAGAAAACTGTTGCTGCTCTTGCTTTGCCTGTTGCTTCGTTAGCGTTTGCCGACTTTTTGGCATTACATTTTCTTCTTCTCGGCCGACTCGTCTTATTCATGGTTTTATTCTGAATGGCGGCGCTGCTTTCAAGGTAATTTTCTACGAGTGTTATTAAAAACTTGTATATAAATGGCAATTGTTATAAATAGTTTGCAATTGAAAGTGCCCCACATACAAGCTGTGAACAACAAATCAAATGTGCATAATAGGGAGCTGTTTTTATGACATGTTATTGCACGCTTCTCAGTAAATATATTTTATTTTTATATATATTTTTTCAATATATTTATAATTGGAATACTCGTACATGAAATGGAAATGTTCGTTGATTGCATTGCAATTAGTTTCATGCTGCATGGAAAAATAACAACAAGCGCTTTGTTTTTCATTTGAATAAAGAAACATTTTCATTTCATTTAATGTTATGAATTGTATCATCATAAAGGACTACTCCCACCTCCTGCTCGTCTGCATCCAACCGAACAGAGTCTCCCCTTTAGATTCACCTCTTTGTGAATGTTTGGCCATGTGCCTGTCCACGCCCCATAAATATTATTTAATTATATATTTCTTTCTTAGCCATTAACATTATGTAGGTTATAATTTAAATAACCAAAGAGAGTGGGCATCTCATCAAAACATCAAATACCAGCCAAATTGAAAAGAGAAGGAAAACACAAAAAAGAAATGTTTCTAAAGAATTTCGCCTCGACTGGGGTCGCCATACGAATATATAGAGAACTATAGAAATAGAAAAAAATATGAAATATGTATTTATAGAAAATCTTGTCAAGACGTTTCTATATGCAAAGACAAACAAACTTGTGTTTGAGTTAAGGGCATGCAGTCAAATGGTCTGGCTCCGTTTGAGGACAGCCAAATCCATGTGGAGGAGTTACATAACTGCTGATATATAGATATTGTATATATATATATATATATATTATAATTATGTATATCATACACACATACATATGTATATATTATATATCAATAAACTGAAGAATTTTGTAATATAAATTTTTTATTTATAAATTTTAAATATATTTATTAAAAATTATTAAAATAATAAGCATATGAATAAATGGCAATAAATATAAAACTGTAATAAATGTATAAAAACTATAAAAGCATTTCAAATATATTCGAAAGAATATAATATAATTCTATAGAAATGGTCAATAAGCAAATCGTTAAAATTAAAAAAAATATAAAATATAAAATATTTAATATATTCAAAATTGTTATATGAAAATTATCAAAATAGAAAAAAAGACCATAAAATTAAATATAAAATAATTTATTTATATTCGAGTAAATAAAAATATGCTTTAATGACATTTCCAGGCAGTTTAGCCATAAAATCAAAGTCAAAATAATGTGATCAGAAAAATGTTTTTAAATATGAAATTTTATGATCTATTATAAGTGGGATTGTGCTGTTGATGCACTCAAATACATATTAGATACATGTGTATCAAAGAGATATTAAGTAGTATAAATTAATATCTTACAGCGTGGTTGGCTGTTGTAGTTGCTGGTTCTAATGGCCCGTTGATTTACGGATCGACTTGGCCGCACGACACTTTTATGTGTGCCTCAATTTATATGCATTTCTAATGGGGCGCCCCGGCTAATAGTGTGAGAGGGCGACGGGTATACATAGTGCATATTAATCATACGCAGTGTTAAACGGCCGAGTTGCCCAGAGCAGCGCCACAGCGACATGAGAGTCAGTGGGAGAGATTAAGCAATCGAGCTGTAGGCAGCCGTTCGCATTCGATTTAAATGTCGGTGAGCACTTCCGGGATTAGCGCGTCGCCAACAGACTGCTGGCTGATGCCTGCTGCCCGCTGATTGGTGTCGTTCGCGCTGTGGACATGTTCCATGGCCAGTCAACTAATTGGAGATGCATGTGGCAATCAATTTGCGTTGCAGTTGCTGGGTTATTTCATCGAATTTCAGTTCGTTGCGCATACGCCCTGTTAGCCAAACAATATTTTATTTTCGTTGGCCATTGCAAAACCAACAAGAGCAGCGACAGAGCAACGCGGAGGCGGCAGCACACGAAAACGTTTTAGTGAAAATAAATTGAAAGTCTTTGGAGCATGGTTTGATGTATTGTGTGTACATATGCATCTCTATTGCCGTGTGTGTGAGTGTGTGTGCTTAGTCTGCTTTGCGCGCTAACGTTTGCTGTGATTTGTTTTGTGTTTCGCCTGCGAGCGCAGTTCTGCAGCAGATGTCAGCGTCGTGTCGTGTTGTTTGTTTTGTTCTGTTTTTTCCCTTTTTTTAAACATGTTTCGCTTTGGCGGCTGAGCCACATTCTGATGGATTGCACGAGTGCAATAGCAGACAATGAGGAAATAACGCAGCGCATGCTTTAAATAGTTGCAAAATGTTTCTGACGACTGCAGCAGTTGTGATATATCGAATACAATCGCATCAATTAACACATTCGACAGACGCTCTGAGCAATCACTGTAAGAGTTATCTCAAACGTAAGCAAATGCAATTCAATTTAATTCTATCATAATTAATTTCAGCAATAATAACAATGCTTTCAGCTAGCCGCTTTCTCTGTGCAGCCTACAGCATGCGACTAAGCTGCTTACCCAGAAAACAATTATTTAATTGCGACCAGCAATGCCAGTGACTGCAGACAGAGGCTCGCTTATGGGGGCAAGCCGCTTTCGATTCCAGGATAAACGGCAGGACAAGAACGAGGCTGCTTAAGCGATATAATCAGAAGCCCTGATCAGATAAATTGCTAATAAGCCACTGGCAAGGCAAAAATCCTAATAGATACAACAACAGAAGCCAGATAGTCGGAAGATAAAAGTGTATCGATTGCAGTTTTAGCACAATGAAAACGACTTGATGGGCTGGCCGAGGGTGTCTGGGGGTGCGCTGATATCGTTTATTTTTAAGCATATTGAAAATCAGCTGAAAAGCAAGCGCTGCGAATGAAAACAATTTCATTAAGTGAAAAATACGTAGCAGAAAATAACCCGAAGCCAAAAAAAAACATCAACAGCCACAGCCCGAGCTAAAGGCAAGTCAAAGTGATGGCGACACAAGTCCTTGGCAGTGGCAGAACTTGTATTTATACCCAAGAATAAAAAAGGGTAAGTCATGGTATTTAGGGTCTTTGTGCGGACATAAACAGCTGAGCCTGGATAACATATTTTAACATCAAGTTTATTGCGCATACGACATGTTGCACAACATATGAATTTTGTTGTCCAAATTGTTACTCTCTGAAGCTGATTGGAAAACTTCTTAAAGTGAAAACGTTTTTATAGAGCATCTACTAGTTGAACAACATAAGCAGCCATTCGACATTTTTTTAACATTTTGCTTGTTTTTCCCCCTAACGGGTTGAGAACAACAGGCGGGAGGGTGGCAAGAGCGATTGAAAGATGCGTTGAAGTGTTGGCAGCGACTTCGACTTTGGCGTCGACGCCAATTCACCTTGAACCACACACGCACAACAACCACATCGGCAACAGCGTCAGCTGCGGCTGCGACTGCGACTGCGACTGAGCAGTAGACACAATTAAGTGCAAAGAAAACGGAAGCAAGCGACAACATTTTATGAGCGGAGCAGGTGACAGATGCGTTGGCGTCGGCTTTTTACATAAAAGATTGACAAGTGATTTTCCCACCTATAGCTACCTGAACGAGACAGGCGATACAACAATGGGTTCTCATGCGACGAGCTGCCTCGGCCCCTGGCGAAATGTTAGCAAAATTGTTTACTTATTTTTGGGGGATCAGTGGAAAATGTTGTTATAGGCCCAACAGCAGCTTATTGGGCTTTCAATTTGTCTAACAAGATGTGCAGCTTACCTTTTCATCTAGTATAGCCATGTCTGTCAATTGCCTCTGCAACTTTGCCTAATCCGATTTACAAAAAAGATTCCCAGTTGGCAATTGTTGCGCAATTCGCGATCGATGGCAGATATCAAGCGGATTATTTATTTATTTCTGTATTGTAATTTACAATATATATATATATTTATTTTCCTTTTTTTGGTTGCTCACCCACGTATACACACACATGCACAGTCACACCCACACACACACTAACCGAGGGGCTTCGATTGGGAGATTTGGTTGGTCGCGCGTCACAAAATACGCAAAATGCGCACAGAAAATTCGCATAAAAACTAATCTATTTATTTAGCTGACTGGCCCGCATCCATTAGTGCCATTCCAGCAATAAATCAATAGCTTTTGAATGTGTTCGAATTTACTTGGTGTATTGGCTGATTGGGTTCGCGCTGCGCCTTTTGTTTCTGAGTCTTGTAATGCAACTGAAATTGAGGCAACATCGAAATGCAATCAAAGTGCTGCAGTTCAATCTACTTTCAAGTGCCTTTTGTTCTTTACGAAATCTGTAGCCAAATAAATTGCAATGCGCATTACGAAAAGCACATACGACTATCTAAAAGGGGCTAGAGGCTAGGGACTAGAAGCTGTTGCTGTTGCTGTTGTGGCACTGGCCAAATGCATTACAACTTTCGATTTCTTTTGCTTTGTTTTGTGTTGACAAATTTTTGGCATATCTCATAACATTTGATGCAGCTGCTAAAAATACTTGTTTTGTGGCAAGGAAATGACTGAAATTCCATTGACTTGGGTTTGATGGCTTCAAGAAATCGCCTTGGCGATAGACTATAGCTTATAGAATTATAGATTTCTCATTTTTTAAGAAATTATTCAATTTTATTATTAATATTAAATATATGCTTGCAATTTCGGTATTAACAACCTCAGTTCTAAGGAGCTCAAATATTTACGCGTTGCTATATGTGTTTGAGAATAAGATTGAAACGTAAATAAGACCACAAGAGAGGCAACAATTTTATATACTTGGACAGCCAAATAAATTTGAGTTTATTTGCGATCTATATAATCTAAGTATAATTAAGTTGTGGGAAAAGAAGAGAGAAGCTGACGTGAAAGTAATTGCAAATCATAAAACAGTTTGGTTATGAAAGATAATTGATTTAAGCACGTTTAACTTCAACCGTTAAGAGTATCAAGGAAATATGTTAAAAGACTACACAAATCTGAGGATGACAAGTGACGAAGCTATTGTTGTCGCTATCATTCCTGCTCCGCAGTTGACAAACGGCAAAAAAAGCCAGAACAAAATTTCATAAGGTGAAAAGAAAGGAAAAACGCGGCACGCGTTGCCAACACTGTGGCCCACATTTGAAGCGGGGAAGTGTCAAGTGGCGCACTGAATTATGAGGTGGATTAAATGTCGATAGCAGGAGCCTCGGCAGAGCGTGAAAACAGCGAATATGAATATTAATGGGGATTATTTATTTACGATGTGCCGGGCAGCAAATCACGCATTGCTTTGTACAAATAAGCAGCTGTCCGTTAGCTTTAAATTATTAATTGGGTTATGCAAATGGTCGGTGTGTAATCAACAGCAAAGCTGCCCGAACGCATATTGCAAATAATTAATGAAGCAAACCACCACCAGAAACCGAAAGTGTAAATCTCATTCTAAAACATACTTTTCTTAATTAACTCTGCTTCTAGTAGTTTTTCTATTTTTTTAATTCACTTGTAAAGTTTACGCTTACTGATAAATATCTGTTTCAATGTCAAACAGTTTTAATTTGCCCAATATGCAGAGTTGGCTTCTTGCTTAATTTGAGGCTCAGTCAAAGCTGCTTTAATTTGGTTTTAAATTGTTTATTTTAGCTCATTGATTCAGTAAGGGGCTCGGTAATCTGCCAGCCAGGTGAAATGCTGGTTGAGTGTTGACAAAACTCCGATTTGCATTTGACAAGTAAATAAATTGAATCGAGTTTTCACTTCATTTTATATTCATATACAAGTTTGTGTTTAGTGTTTTCCTATTGATATTATTATTATTTAATGAATAGTTTGGAATACGTGTGAAATATAAAATGATAATAAATCCTCTTAAATGTGTGTAACAAATATGTGAATATATAAAAAGGCTTTCAACGAAGCCAAATTGAACTGTAATGAAATTTTGATTAGTTACAGTCTGTTAATTGAATTTTAATATATTTTGAATTGGGTCACTCCAGGCCCTCAGTGCAGAGTGTTGCATAGTCGGTTAGTTGGCTTTGGCTGCTCGCTATGATTTGGAGTAACCAATAGTTAATTCTCGCCAATTTCAATGCTCTTCGGGCACATTTGGACTATTTCCGTTTCCATTTGGGATTTTAGAAGTGCGGAGTCTAAGCTCTTTCTGCTGTTTTGGGACGGGTTAGTTAATTGCGATCCAACCCATTTGCATTTGCCGTTGTCAGACATATTCAACAGACAACTGGCACAGCTGGCAGGCCAAGCTGTTGCCTACAATGCGTTGAATTTACCCAATTGGCAAATTTCCTCATTGATTTGCCAACAGACAACGATGACGAGGGCAGACAACGGTCGGAACACCGAAGACCAAAGACTGAAGACGGACGGTTGCATAGCCCCCTGCCCAGTGCAGCTGGCTTCTGGCATTTTGGTCTGCTTGCGGGTTTTGGTCAGAGGCATAGGATTGATACATGTAGCCAAAGTGGGATGATGGGTGATGGGCTGTGCGGTTGGGCGGCTGGGCGGCTGGGCGGCTGGGCGGCTGGGCGGCTGGGCGGTTTGGCAACTTGCAAAACTACGCAAAACATTTTGTAAATTGAATTTGTGTTTTGAGTTTTATACGCCGCACACAAATGTAATTGAAATAAGTAAATATCAATTGAATATCCGCCAGCGAGCGGCGGAAGTTTATGGCAGGCAATGAAATTATTTGTTTGCCCAGTTGATTCGGCATTGATATTCTTGCTCTTCTTCTTGTTCTTGTTGTTGTGGCTCTTCTGGTTCTTTAGGCTTGTAACAACAACTTATAAAGTAAACTCTTTGTGGCAAAGTTTCCGTTGCGGCAGGTCAAAATCAAAAGCATTGCAGAGATTTTCCTCTAGGCATTAGCAAATAAGTCTGCGGCTGTGGCGGCGGCTGTGGCTGGGGCAGCTTATGAAAAGTGCTTGTAAATTACAAGAGATATGCCACTCATAAAACTGATTTATGCCAAGTACAATAGCAACAAACAATGCTCACGTTCGACGCATATCGTGCTAAAATTGCGATGCTCAAAAGTTAAACAGCGGCCGACTGCCAAAATAAATGGCACGTTTATCATACGCCCAGTGGGCCCAGTGGGCCCAGTGCGCTGAACAATTTGGCAGCCGCATTTATATACCACAAGCACGCACACACGCATAAGTACATATGTATTTAAAAATATATATATATACACTGATGAACATATGAACAGTTTGTATATGTCACGCCCCCTGTCTGCCGCGACCCGCCCTGACGCACTGGCATACTTCGACTATGGCTATGTTTTGCTTGATGTTTTCGCGTTTGCTTTTCAATTATATAAACATATTTAGATTATATTCAGTTAACACTCACACGCACATAGGCACACACACGCACACACACATGCGCAGTCGGATATGTTGTGCGTGTGTGCATTAAAATTATAAATTGTTTGCTCAGCAAAAAGCAACCAAATAAATAAATTCAAAGGAACGAACGCCATGAAACGAAACGAAAAACAAACGCCAAACGCATAAATAGCTGACCAAAATCAAATAGAACAGAGCGAGCTAGCAGCGCTTGGAGCTAGCTGGGCCAACGCGTCGTATGCGCAATAGGAGGTAGCTGCCTTGGGAGAGCTGCAACAAATGAATGAAAATCAAGTGGCCGAAACATGACATTGAATTGCTTTCGACTCGTTTTGTCACACCCAAATGCCATAACCATGTGAAAAGTCTATACTACATAAATATGCGTACCTCATATGTAATTATATATGTGTATAAAAGTGTGTGATGACGCGTGTGAATTATGTTGTGTGGTCTCTTTTGAGGCGCCAGCAACGTTGACAGCTGTCAATGCTACTGACGCTTAGGGCTACGGCCCAGGACTGGGTTAAGGCAACGGGCCAGGGTCAGGCACTAACGTGGTTGCACAGATTCCGACAATACCACGCTGAAGCCTACGCAGGCAATGCCGAGTTAACCACACATTGACCACACACACACATGCTGAGGTTACGCTTTGAGCCACCGAAAATTCCATTAATGTGTTTCGCCAAATATTCAGCTATCTGAATGTGGCTTTGTGTAGCAGTATGTGATCGTTCACGCCTTGTTGCACTAATCGGCATGCCTCATTGGCTGCCGTGCGGTGTGTGCCACGAAAATTTGCTAATCTATTTTGCTAACTGCATCAATATCAATTTTGCTAACTACATAAATCCATTAGCAAATTAGCAAAATCAACGACAATGCGGTCAGCAGCAGACTACGGCCAAGTCAACTGAAAAATTAATGGCATGTGTCAAATCGCATATGCTCCTCATTAAACCCATCTCGCATTCTCAATTTGAGCCTGCTCACCAGCGTCAGAGTCACGTACCGGGCGGGTAACTATAAAAATGGCAAACGTACCACGTGCCTCATTAAGGACATGTTCCGACGCGCGCTCGCAATGGACACACGTAACACAATTAGCTGACCTGCGGCCACATACACGCAGGCATATGACACACAATGAAATTGATGAATTTGAGGAAGCAACAAGCGTTGCTCTTAAGCTCCATATTCATCATAGAGTTAATCAGGTCTTAATCAACAAGTTAGAAGCTTGAGCTTAGCTAAAACCAAGTGCAAAATACTTGTTGAAGCTAAAGTCTTAAAGGCTTGACTTGAGGCTTAGGTCATTAGCTCGAGCTCAAATGCGCCTTTCAACTGGTGTCATTGGGTCGCATGTGTGGCTCACGTGCGTTACGCATGCTTTTTAATTTCATTTAACATTTGACTCGTTTGCAGTGCCAAAGGACAAAATGTCGAATCAGCCCCAAAAGGCAAATCTCTGCTTCGCTAGAGCAATGAAAATTTAATTCGGGCATCATAAAATTTAACAAAAACAACGCACAGACGATCATAAAACGACGGCAGAGTTGGGCAACAACAGCAATCAATAGAGGCGGCCTATATTGAGTGAAGACAGCGTTGCAGTGGCCGCACGCGTCGCTGCCGCGCCAAGCCGGAAATGCAATTTGTAATTTGTGCAACAAAATTTGTTGCAATTAATTGCGATGCGCCCGCGCCGCTCCACCTCTCCCTCCTCCCACCACTTTTGTTGCTTGTGCGCCAGACCGCAAGACACGGAAACCTCAATTTTTTTCGCGACTTTCCCAGGCAACGCAGAATTTATTGCATTTCATTTGAATAATTTTTTGTTGCGATTTGTTTTTAATTTTTATTATAGCTTTTTTCTCTTTCTTGGCAGCTATCACAGCGCATTAAGTGATTTGTGCTTAACAATAATTTTTGTTATTTTTTGTGTTTTTGATATTCGTAATTTGCGCTGAAATCAAACAGCTGCAAAATTTGTGATTTTGTGCCAGGCGTCGTCGCCTATATAAAGTGTGTCCCAACCACATATATATCATATACTGTGCACAGAGATAATATATACTGCACCCACACATACACACATAGATATATCTCGTATGTATTCTGCTGCTGTATATATGTTATCTAGATTTATGGCGTTTCTACGGCTATATAAACAATTTGTTAAGACGCACACAGTGAAAAATGATTTCGTACATTAGATAAATAAAGAATTTTGACATGTTTTGGTTATATCTAACACTGATCCAGCCCTATATTATCTATAGATCTCAGACATTTTGCAACACTCACCTCAGTTATTTTCATGGTTCGCTTGACGGTCTTGCGGGTTACTTCAGTTGTCTCCTCAACAACGTCGCCGTCCTCGTCAATGCTTTCGGTGACCATTTTCTCGGTCTCGCCGGGTATCACCTCCTCGGTGCGTTCCGTAACGACGCTGGTCTTGCTATCGTCATCGGCGGCTGGTACCGAGTCGGGGCTTGTCTTGGTCTGCTCCTCAGCGGCACCAACAACATCCTCATTGTCCGACATGTTTGCTATTTGATTGTGTTTATCTTAAAGGTTTTCACTTATTTTCAGTATCTTTGGCTTTTGCTTTAGGGTCACTTTCACTTGGCTCGGCGCTTGCTCACTAATTTTTTGAACTATTGCGACTATAGCGGCCCACCGACACGCACACTAGGGCAGCACAGACACACAATAGAGAATTTCTCAACTTGTTTTGCCTGAAAGAAAAGCGAGCAGAAATGAATATTTTCTTTCTTCTTGTATGTGCCCGCTGTGGGTTATTATATAAACAACAGAATTTTTTCAGACAACTATCACTGTTAACGTTCACTATCACGTTCACGATCACGGCACGAAAACGTTACTTGTAGGAATCTTGAATGCGATTCTTATATTGAGAGCTTGAATGCTTCTTGAGATGATCACTGGCGCTGGCTGTGTGTGACACTGCGAGAGTGAGCGCTCAGCCAGCGACAACGACAAGCGCGACAACAACGAACAACGAACGGCGAACAATGAACAACGGACAACGAACAGCGGAAAAGGAAGAAAACGACAACGACAACGACAACGACAACGACAACGACGACGACGACAACGACAGCAGAGACAGAGCTGGTGACAACAACGCAAAGTGACAAAACGGACGCGAGACAAATTGCAAAAATGAATCAAAATGAATTTCTTGTTGTACAATTAAAAACGCATAATTCGAGAAAATTCAGTTTGTTTCATTTGTGCAGCAATAAATTGAAAATAATCAGCGAGCAGCGCCCAGCGACAACGCACGAGGCAAATTACACGATTCTGAGGCTTCTGTCCCGATCGATGGCACTGCTCGCCGTCTGGCCTGCCACCGGAACCGTTGCCGTCGCCGTCGCCGTCGCCGTCGCCGTTGCCGTTGCCGTTGCCGCCGCCGGAGAGCGACCAAAATACCAAATACAATACATACAACTAGTTGGACATGAACTGTCTATGTGTCTGCATCTGTGTGTATATTGTGTGTGTGTGTGTGTGTGCGTGTGCAGCCGTGTGTGTATTTGGTGCTTTTCCCGGCGAGCGAGATGCCCAACTTGTCGGGATTACCAAAATAGTCGCAGACAGGCCCAAGAGCGAACGGGTCGGCTATAGTCAATGTCCGCTCTTTGGCATCTCTGACGTTTGCTGGTGCTGCCAGTGCTGCCTTTGCTGCTGGTGATGCTTGCGATGCTGGCGATGCTGGCGCTGCTGCGACGAGTCGCTCTGAATTCTGATTTGAATGTTGACGTTCAATTCAATATTTTGGGCGAGCAGCTGCCGTTCGGCCGTTTGCTAATTGCTTGACTGCTGCAAGTGCTAAAGTCAAATCCGAAATGAAATTCGAAATTTCTGAAAATGCTGGGCGAACGGGCTGCAATTAGTGCCGCTGGCCGAGGCGTGAGCCGTGACGCATGTCAAATCTGTAACTGGTTCCCCATTCGACGTGCGTTGTTGGCGCTATTTCGGTACGCACCCCCGCCCCCCTCCTCCACACAATACCAACCACCAGAGAGAAAGAGAGCTAGTGCCCGAGTGCCGACACCCAAATACCCTCTTCTAGGATATTGCTGATGTGTTTATTTACTAAACAATCAATTGCAATAATTTTAAGTTCGACAACTGGGTTTTATTTATTTAGCAATTTCAATTGCCTAAGGGCCTTAAATAGATGAGACTCTCTTATGCTTTGTTTTAACACAGTCAAGTTCAAATTCGAAGCATATACAAAAAATTATAAAAGTTATATTTTACTTAATTTTCCTTAAGTTTTTAGACTTGAACTGAAGTTGTGATACCCAGGCACAGCTAGAGCATTTCAAACTAACACTACATATTGCAAAAACTGCCTGCTGTAGTATTGGGACTGGGACTGGGCAATTGCTCGTCCCCGCTCTCTGCTGCTGCTGCCGCTTTTGCGGTCTCTGACTGTCTGGCCGTTTGGCCCAGCGGCATTTGCTTTGCCCGGCGTTCGACAGCTGAGTGGAGTTGCACATGCATACAGGGTGTCCGGCCGTTTATCAAAACTATCGCGTGTCGCATGTCGATGCATCACTGGGACAGTGCGAACTTCCTGTAAAATCGACTGAAAGATATATGAAAGACAAGTGCCTCGCTGCGCAAACAAAGCGTCGAATAAACGCAAGACATGAAATATTCTAAAATTAATGCTCGACAAATGTGATTTTGGTCGCTCAACGCAACAAGAAGCCCAAGCACATACATATACATGCATATATGTGGAAGCAGATACAGATACAGATGCAGACACAGATAGAGCTGGCTGTGTGTGAAAGTGGATACAGCGCTGATTATACTGTTTGTCGCGAGCAGCTGTAATTGGGTCCACATTGTGCGGAAATCTGTCAAGGCGCCAAGTTTTCAGCAGATTACAGAGCAACAGGCAAAGGGTAATGATAAAGGATAATGGGAGCCCGCTAACAGCTGTTAGCTGTTAGCTCTGCGATGACGTTAAATCAGCGCTCAAATATGATTAATAAGTAATTTCTTTGTCAGCAGCCCGCAGTGGGTTGTGGATTGACGGCAGCGCCAGCGCGTCACAGCCGAGAAATATATGGAAAATCTTTAATAATAAAACACATGCATAAATAAATTATAGGGCAGACAGCAAGGGGAGCGCAAAATGGGTAATAAAACAAAGCGGAGACAGTCGCAAAACCAAACCGAAGAAAACAAAGAAAAACTCGCACATGTGAAGGATGCACGAGTTGCTTCCTCACCCCAGGCGCTGCTTGGCCGTGGCTTATTCTGTTTATCTCACGCAGTTACACAGTTGTAAAGGGAACAAAGTAATTGAAGTACTTTTTATTATAAGAATAGCAAAATGTCGTTCCTCTCTCTTGCTCTGGCTCTGGCTCTGGCTAGTGTCGTTGACTTGCGCTGACCTAGGAGCAGTCCAGGAACAGACCAAGACGATGATATAAAGAACAGATACAGCCCGACAGACAGCTGGCTTCCCAGTGCCTGGCCAGTAGCTTTGTTAGACTCATGTGCGCCCTTCACAATGCCAATTTTCCACAAGTAAAAAACTTTTGCCAACTGAATCGAATGATGCAAAACAGAAAACGAATCTTTTTTGTCGACTGCTCGAAAGTGTATTGTGTTGTAAAATATTGCAGTCCTTAGAATTATGCGAGAATCGACAGAATCGTATAAGAAAGTTTTATAAAGTTTCACGCTTGGTTAGCTCTTCATATTTATCAGATATTTTCCTCGTTCGTGAACTGAAAAGAGTTCAATCTTTGCAATGCGCATCTTGCATTAGCTCGAGAATTTATATTTTTTATATATTTTCCTACCTTTTTTTTTCTGCAGTTACAGATGTGGAATCAGTAAAGTTTGTAGCCGCATAGCCAAGCACCTCCTCTGCAGAAGGCATCATAAATTCTATTGGCTACTCATTAAAGGCGTGACAAATCGGAGAAGACCACATCTTCTAGTTTACAAGGCAGATACATATAATTTGAAATACCTCTCCATTGGGTAGAATATTTCATATTTTTTTAATATTTATTTTTATTTAATATTCCATTGAACTTTTATTAAATTTTTTAGAATTACACAAGTTTATATCATAATAAATGAAAAATATCAATAAAGCTGATTTGATTAGATATAAAGTTGTATGACATTAATGTATAAAATGAGATTATGACCATTTAACTGCCCTAGCCAAGGTGCACTCTAAAAGCATCACAATCATGACCATCATGAAGACATATGAATCAATGACTACTCCAGCCTGTAAAGGCAGTAGTTTTCTGTGTATGCAATGATGTATCGACAAGAACTTGTAAATTTTCCTCATTGAACCAAAAATGTGCTTCATGGGCAATCAAAAGGAGAAACTGCAAGATAAGTTTGAGGAACAGAACCATTACTTGATGCAAATTTCAATAGTTTACAAACATTGTTGTGTTGTAAATCTATCCATAATGAAATGTCAAACAAAACTCAAATAAAAGCCACTATTAGATGTTAAATGGATTGTCAAATAACTATGTGTTGCCTACTCAAAGTAGTAAAACTCTAAACAAAACACTATTTGTATTTTTGTTGCTATGAGCGTATATTTATTACTTTTTTAAACATTTTTCTCAAATAGGCATTTATTTACTTAAAGATATCTGAAGTATTCAACAGAGTTAGAAACTTCAATTCAAACTGCCTGAGTGGCGTTCAGCTCTATTTGAAAGATACACATGCAATTGGCAAACAAATATCCTGCACAAGCTGAAAAACAGTTTCGTGGCCGAACAAATTGTTTGAGCTGCGATTTTGCTTTTAACTGAAGCGCAATGCAGTTAGCAACGGATTCCAATTTCAATACAAATGCACACACACGACAGTCGCAGCTTGCCGGAGCTGGCTCTGTCTTCTGGATTTGGCTGGTGCTTCGATTCGATGTCTGTGTTTCCTGGCCAGAGGCGATGTTGCTGGCCGGGTAAACAGAAATGGAAATAAATAGTTGCCTAGCTCTTTTGTCTAATTAAAACGTTTCGTTTAGTTCTACTCTCTCTCTTAGCCTCTCTGTCTCTGTTCTACTTTCTCTATCTTTCCATGTGTGTGTGTGTGTGTGAGTGTGTGTGCTGTAGCCATTTCAATTTGTGGACGTCACACACATATATATATACTCACGCACAGAATAAGCTGGGAAACGTGCGTGGGCCACAGTCAGAGTCACAGTCAAGTCCTGCTTTCTATGCTGGCTGTCAATCTGTTTCATCTTCATTTCGTTTGCCTGCCACCTTTTTTCTTGCTTCCATATGCTGGGCCTTTGGCCAACCATTATGATGATTTATGGGCGGAAATTATTTTTGGGCCGCCCATTGGCTAGGAGCGACAGCCACACCGGCTAGTCTATGAAAACTTTTGCTAGCCACCTAAAAGTATGCAACAGTTTACATTTTCAATTCCGTTTGCCGCACAGATGTCTTCGCATTTTGTACACTTGGCTGCTTCTTTTAATTTGAAAAGCGATTTTCTGTCACTCGAATGATGCCTGCTGCCCACAGGCCTACGCATTCCAATGACCGCAGAATGATGAGTCTTAGCTAGATAGTCTTAGCTAGCAGAGCTCAATATGTGCCATTTCCTGTTCATATCGAGTGTTTGACAGTTGGAAGACTATAATTCGATTATTTTGTGTGGTTTTTGTTGCATGTGGCTTTGAAGTAAATCAACAAGTGCCCGTTGGTGGGAGTTCAAAGTGCTATAAAGCATTGTTTATGGCTAAAGCTCTAGCGAAGCTTTTATAGCTTGGCAAAGCACTCAGCATGCATACGGTTATGCAAAAGCTTCGCTACTTAAAGTGTCCAAGCTTAAAAGCTCAGCGAGTGCAAGCACTGCAAACACTGATTGGAAGCTTACTCTGAAATTCATTTGGGGTTTTCGACACAGTTCGGTACATTACCCACAGTGCTGAGTCAGTTATCAATTAGGTATAACCCGACGTCAGCAGCGACGAAACCAGTTCTTGAACACTGAACGCGTAATGCTCTGTCCGGCATTTGAACGAAAGAAACCCGCGCTTATCAACTTACAGGGAAGGCGGCCAAAAGTCAAAGGTGCTTTAAGTTCGCTGGGTGCCTGCGTATCGGAAACTTTTGGTGAGCGCAAGCTGCTGAGACGGCGCCTCTCACTAGAGACAGATACAAGCTCTTCCAGTGCGTAGGCCAGGCCAAGCAAATCCGAGCCAGACAAGGCCCCAGCTGCTGACAGTCGATTCAGTTTGGACTTCGACGTGCTGCCAGCAACATCGTGAGCGCTATTAAATGTAATAAGTCCAACTAAATATAGCTAAATAACAGTCAACTTTGTTTAAAAGTGCACGGAGAGAAAGAGAAAGCGACAGCGACAGAGACAGAAACAGTGACTGAGTGAGGGAGAGCGAATGAGAGTGAGAGTGAGTGAGAGTGAGAGCTTTATAGGTAGTGACAATCACACCTTGGACCCGCCTCATTGCCCCGCAGCGCCATTTATTGCTCCACTGTAGAATTGTTTTGATTGTGAGAGAGAGAGCGCAAGAAACAAAAACTGTAGTTCGACAAGCCAAGTGTTAAACATCTCGATGCTAAGTGAAAGTGGCCTAAACTAAATAAAAAAATAACAAACTGAAAGAAGGCCGAAACATTGAATTTCGTTATTTAATTATTTTTAATTTAACTTGCTTTAGCCGCTAATTGTTCTAAATTTATTTGTTTCGATTCGAAGGTCAGCCGTTGTGGCTTTAAGTTTTTTTAAACGTGTTTAGAGAGGCACTGCAAAAAAATTTCATGATTTTTGTTATTGTTTGCCAATGAATCAGAGCAATGAATATTTGGAGCAAATATTTGTCGTAGTAAACAAATGAGATATCTATGTGAGCATAAAACGAAATATATATGGATTTTCCTGTTAAAAAACTAAAAACTATATAAGCAACATTAATTTTAAGTTATGATTCAAAGATTTGTCGATTTAATTGTAAGTATATTTAATCTCATTTCAATATCCAGTTTAACTGCACCTCGCCGCATAAAACTCCGTGAAAATGAGCGCTGTAGATGCCATCATCAACTATAAACGCAGTCCCAATGAGGACTTTTACGCTCTGCTCCACTGCGATGAGACCTCTTCGGTGAGTAGAAAGTTTAATTAAAACCAATAATTAACTAAGTTCATAATGAGCTGAGCAGCAAATGCAAACATTTGCCTGGCACAGCGTCCCCATTAGCCGACAAAGTTAAAGGTTGACCAAAAATTTAATTTCGACCTAATTGAATTAGATTCGAGAACTTTTGCATGAGCCGTGGCGAGGATGAATCTGACAGCCACAAAGGCAACAGCCTTAGATAAATAAAGCTAGATAAAGATACAGATATAAATGAAATCAAATACAACTCGACGTTTGCCGACTTGGCTTTGAGCTCGTCGGGGCATTTACTTTGAGAATTAGTTTCAATTACGTCCCCCATTCACATTCAGATGCAGAAACGTGCCAGATTAAAAGAATTGAAAGCGGCAGCAGCTTTGAGATACAACTTAGTAGCTGCCACTTGGCAATTAAACGCCCAGACACATGGATGTCTGCTGCAAATTGCCTGTAACTGGGCAGAAACAGTTCCTGTGTGGCTGTATGTGTGAGAAACTTTTTACTGACAGTCTGAGTCCTTAAATTACTTCACGCAAGAGTTCTGTGTGAGTTAAGCCTGGCAATTATTTTGAGTTTCAACATCATGTTGCACGCGGTGCTCGCAGTGTCAGAGGGTTGACAAGATGTTTGTCATTAGGCTTACTCATATTAAATGTTGCAGTGCCGTCAGCTATGTTGATATCCAAACCCTTTTAATCGCATTTATTCTCCTCAAATCTCTGGCTAGCTTAATGGAATTTCGCTGTTATATATCGAATACCTTGGCACTCGCCTGGGTCGCTTGATTGTCAGATTTTCTAGCTCACAAAATTTCAATAACAATTTGATGAGCACGCATGAACCTGTAGCCTGAAGGCAACTTCTGCAGACTGCGGCTTAATCAAATTCAATGGTATGATAAATGTTTTGACGTTGCCGTAATTTTCCACCTGTAAACATTTTAATGTTGGCAATTTTTCAAGCTGTCGATTGCATCATGTTGAGCCATCTATTGAATTATGCACGAGCTCCCCTCACTAAGCATCCCTTGTGATGAGGGTGATGCTGCGGGCGCAAATGGCAAAATGTCTGCTGGGAAGCGAATCTCATTAATATGAAAATTTGTAGTTTCCTCAAATATAAAAAATATAAAAAATATAAGAAAATAAAAAAGTCCTGGACATAAACAAAAGCAGCTTCAGTTCCTCAAGCTGCATCTACGGATTTCATTTTATATTCAAGTATTCATTTGCAATGCCACCAGCCTTAGTATTCAGAGCTTATTTATTATTATTGTTATATTTTTATACAGTAACATATGGATTTGAGGCTTTCAGCCCGGATTCCCAAACGTTATTTGCTGTTTACAGCTTTATTTTAAGCTTAAGGTATTGTGAACATCTTGCTCTTTAAAAAACTTTTCTGCTGAGCAAGAAGTATTTTAGATTTATTGAGTAAAATTAATGTGCTTTGTGTTGAGTAAGTAATTGAAGAAATATTAGTTGAAGTAATGCGATACAATCAGATTTGCTATATGTTATAATTGACTGCTTTAGTGCAGTTTAACTTATTATAATTAAATATAAAAATAAGAAACAAAGTAAAGTCTCTTATGGTTGAGTTTGATCAGAAGATCTTAATAACAATGAAGAAGCTGACAAGCTGCTTAAAAACTGAAAGAGAAAACTTTTGAGAACGACTCGGTAAATTTATAGAGGATTCACTTGACTGAATTGACTTGACTGAATTGGCAGAAAATAAATATTAAGAAATAAAGACTTTATAGTTTTCATTGACTTGGGTTACCAAAGCCAGTTCAGGCTTATCGCTTTGATTTTATTTTCATATTGTAATAGTTAAAAGTAGAAGGAGCAAGCTTCTTTGAATTGTTGAATAGTCTGCAGTTGAGCTCAAAGCGAAGTAATTACTATTTCCACACACACGAGCTGATCATTGTTGGTCCAGATAAGCCTATGCGATGCTGCTATGAAAATTTGCATATGTCACGGCCACTCCTAAGTCTATATATACATGGATATTCTATGCATATACAATTGTTGGCATATGCACATTTATTGTCTTTTATTGTGAAAGGCAGCTGAAAATCTCAAGCTGTGGAGCGACTGGGCTGGGAACTTGACGCTGATTTGCATTTCTTTACAGACGAGGAGAAATGGAATAATCAAATGGAAATTCGGTAGAGTTAATTTAATGGCAATGCATACTAATTGAACAATTCAATTCTAATTGGTTCACTTTAATTGCATTATGCAATTCGCACACTCGATTGCAACAGAGACCCCGCTAACGTTTCTGTCGTCAGTGTCTATACCATTTGCATATTGTGTTCATGACTCATTGGAACCGATGCTATTTCCATTGCTATTGTAACTGAAATGACGAGAGAAGCTTTGAATGGGGTTTGTTTAGGGCCTTTTTGTGCCGCTGCTGGGAATCGCTCAAAATATTTGAAAAGGCTGCTAAAATAACAAAATGCCAACATATCATTTGGTGACACATCTCCATTTACGTATGTTTGTGTACGTATTTGGTATTAAATTGCCATCATTGAGAGCTGGCACGAGCAACACACACACACACACACAGCCTCACGCATCCCAGACATTGCGCAGGAATGCCAACAAATGCCTCTGCGAATGTCTGCTAGAGATTCATTAAGATAATTGTGGGCGAGTGTAGAGTTCTTGTGTGCTGCATGAATCGCACGCGTCTGCCACTGCAGTAATACAAATTGCGTTGAAATTAATTATATGCCTCGTTGCCGTTAGCGCAACAAACAAAATTCAACGTGCGCACATAAATAATGCGAAAGATTTAATAGCAAACGGAGCCGACGACAATTTATATATGCATGCGATATATTTGTATAAGCAACGAACATCAATATTTTATGCAGACAATAGAAAATAAACATGCAGCGTAAAGTAATGCCATTATGAATGACTGCCTGACTGAGCTCCTGCTGCTTCTGCTGTTGAACAATTGCTGGCCTGTGGCAGCTGTGTTCATTGTGAATGCTTGTTGTTGTGCATGTAAAGCCATTTTCATCAACAACTGGGAAAAACAACAAGGCTCAACAAGAGGCTTTTGTTTTGAAAATTGAGTGTCGTCGCACCGCTCGACCGCCGTACCATTCAGAGGATAATGCGCTTTTGTTGCGTGGGTTGCGATGACAACTGTCAGGTCCTGGCAGCCGCCAAACTCGGTCAGCAGCAGCTGGATAAATGCTGTCTGCCGCATAATGTTGCCCGACAGCAACTTGTTGCTTCTGGCTGTCACTGCAAACACTTTGGCTTAATTAATTTCAATTGTTCGCGCAGCCTTGACGCTAACGCCACTCGTAGGCGGGATCAGTTGTCAAGGTTGTCGCAGTGTCAAAAGTTGGCCATTCTTTGAGGCAGGCGTTATTTGGTCTCGGTCTCAATTTTCTCACAATTTGGGTCGACTGTCAAGCCCACGAGAATATGTTCTGCCACTACGATGCTATTACACTTAGCGGTTTCCATTTTCACACGACATTTTCCGGCAAACAATTTCGCAGTGCTAACATCACGTATACGTTTGCTTGTTATTGTCAATGAGACTTATCGCTTCCGGCCCATTGATGTTGCTTCAATTCTAATGTGTTGTCGTTTGAAGCTTCGTTTGCTGCTGACAGCTTTACCTGTCGTGCGGTTACACCTGCTCGCCGCCCTGTTCCACCTGTCCTTGGGGATGTCGCTTGTTCACTTTGCGTTGGCTCAGTATCGACACATCGTCGTAATCATCCTTATCTTCACTCTCATCTTTATGCTCACCTTGGGAATAGCACAAAATCTGCATGTCACAACAATTTGATATTATGTAATATGGGTGTCTAACGCGGAGCAGCTTTTTCAAGAGTGATGCCACGAAATGCTTAGTTAATTTATGGCAAAGAGAATTTTTCATTGCAATTTACTTAATTTGCGCCACTTTCTGTCTCCCCGCAGCCGGAGCAAATCCAGGCAGAGTACAAGGCGCTGGCACTTCAGTATCATCCGGACAAGAACAGCGGCGACAAGGAGGCGGAGGCCAAGTTCCAGCAGCTAAAGGTAAGCAGCAACAAAAGAACATTGGCCCGACAACAAAAATGCAAACATTTTACATATTTAATAAAGTGCCACCAGGTGGGCGAGGGGTGGCAACAGACGTGCGCGCCCCAGGGTAATTTATTTAAGTTGAAAGCTTCGACTCGAGTTTACTTTTTTTTTTGCCTTAGCAAAGCTGAAAGCATTGTTGATCTACTCTCGCAGTACACATAAATTATAAAACATAACCCCTCAGTTAGCGTAATAAAAAACTAAACACACACACGTTAGCAGGAGATATGTGCGTGGGGCATGCAAAATGGTTGGCTATCAGTCGGCAAATGCTTAAAGCCACATGGAACAAAGCACAAACATGCACACGCACAAACCACACTTATACACACACGCACACGCACACACCCACATGTACGAGCACACACAATTGAATAGCTCGAAGCACACTCATTTACACTCAACCTCAAATTGAATTTTACACATAACAAAAAGCTTCAGAGATCGCGAGCACTGTGCAAGTAGATAAAATAAATTACACACGAGTATACCCTATATATAGCTACTATTTTGAAAAGGATTATTGATTTTTAGGCTGTGTCGGGGCAAAACAGCAGAGCATCATAAAAATAAGCTTACGTATGTATGTGCATATGTTAATGTGCGTGTCTGTGTCTCTGGCTATTGTTAGCCGCCTGCGTCGAAAGGGGAACTACATCAACTTGGCCAAACAGTTGCCGTTCGCTCGTCCTTGCTCTGCCACTGCTCATTAGAGTCCTGTCAGCTACAGCGACAATAAAACTTGTTACGCGTTTGGGCAACGGCAACGACAACGGCAACAAGTCGAGCGGAAGTCTTCTTCTATGCATGATAGTTGTGAAACTGGGTCCAGAGCTCGAGCTTCCCATAAAAGGCAAATAAAATTTGCAGCTTGTAAAGTTTCCTCACAGTGTTTGTTTGTCTGTCTCTGTGTATGTGTGTGTGTGTGGGTTTCTGTGTGTTTGCTTCCCCTTACAAATGGTCTTTTTCCCTTTTTATGGTTGCCATAACGTCAAAGCCATAAAACAAAGTCAGATAGCTATAAAACATTTCAAGTGAAATGTTAAGATTCAAATGGGCACAAAATTTGATTCCAAAATGTTTTCGTATATCCATCAAATTTTTTTAAGTTATATGCTTTAAGCCATTGAATATTTATTTTTTAATTAAAAACATTTGAAGCACTTAATCGAATTCACTCAGGCTAAAAGCTGATAAAGTATTTACTGATTAGAATAAAATGCATTTATTGGACTTATTTGCCCATGATACTATAATGCAAATCTAATCAATGCTCCACAATGCAAACAAAAGCTTATATATTCAATCAGACTTGTAGCTTGATATATCTATATTTGTGTGTATTTATATATGTTCTCACATTTTATATATAAACTAAAGAACAGAAGTTTGCAAAGTCATGTTTAAGAAAGCACATGTATAACATAAGATGATTGTAATTAATACATATTTTTAAGTATTTATTCTTAAACGCAAAAGTTAGCTCACATACATATAGTTGATGTTCCCAGTTTATTTTTGAATGGCCCCTAAAATTATTAAAAATGGAAAATAAGGGTATATTGTTTTTGCCAAAAAATATTGCTAACACTCAGCAGAAAGAGTGGCAGACACCATAGAGTATATATATTCTTAATCAGAACTCGAACTGTGACTATCGTACCATGTCCGTCTGTCCGTCATTCTCGGACACTACTAAGGGAAAGACTTCAATTGTGAAATTTATATCCCTGTTTGCTATACGCAGAACGAGCTTAACTTCTTTTTGTTTTGTATTCATATCTCATTTATTTATTATCGATAAATCTCAATCATTTAAGCTTAACTTATAAAAGTAATATTACAATATTACGCTTTAAGTTAACTTTGCAGATTCCTATTATGAATACACATAATGCATATATTTAGGATTTAAGATATCTCCTTTCCCAATTCGCCATATTAGAGAAACCTATTTCAAATACTAGAGACTAGTTATCGCGCTCTAAAAATTTCATTATGAACTGTCATATAGAAAAAATGTTATTCGACAATTACGAAATTAGTACAGCTCAACTGCAGCATAAAATATGAAGCAAGTAATGCGTCTGGGTGCTTGCTATGAATTAATAAGAATGAGAAGAATGATTGGAATGACAACACTTTGCAGGATTTCAGGGTATCTGCCAGTCGTGCACTTTCCACTACAGTTTTTTTTATTTGTTTTGATAAGTTTTTGGCCAGTAAAAGTTGAAGCAAACTTTAATTCTTTCTTGGCAATAACAAATATGGCCCCAGGGGCAACATTAATTGAAGAGATATAAAGCAGCATGCAGCGGACGGATAATAGGCAAAGCTCTGAAGCCTTGCATGCTGACCCACATAGTCAATGAGTAGTAAAATAATTGATTATCACGTAGGAATCGTAGCAATAAAATCTCAGAGGCACAGCGTGTGTAATTTTGCCTGTGAGTGTCTGTGGTCTTTGTTTATGCACTGAATGCCAGCAGACTGCTGTGGCATACAAATTGTGGATGTCTACCCAGATAGGATATCAAAGCCACTTGAGCGTGTAACTCGTGTGTGTGTGGGTGTGCCTGCGGAAGGAGTGTGTGTGCGAGCGGGTGGTGTTTGTTTGTTAATCACAGTCATGCTAATAAGTATACTACATAAATTGATTATTGTGCAAAGGCAAACGGCAATGGCTAAGGCCATAGCCAAATACAATAACGGAAGGCCTAACTGATATTTATTTTGGGTTTTAACAAATTTGACTTCAACTAATGCAAATAAACAAAAAACATTCATTTGCAGGAGGCCAAGGAGACCTTGTGCGATCCGGAGAAGCGGGCCGTTTACGACAAGTGGCGCAACAGCGGCATCTCAATGAGCTACAAGCAGTGGCTGGGCATGAAGGAGCACGTCGGCCAGGTGAGAAGATACACAATTGCCGAGAAGGTGGATAAAGAGGTATGCGTATGGGCCAGGAATATACCGAAACAGAGAAGTAAACTCCAATCCCCAAAAAACTGTAGACAACTGAGGCGCTGTGTTTTCCCTCTGTGTGCCGTCTGTTTATGTTTTATTTATAAAGTGGGAAAATTACAGTTGTTCACATTGTATGTGACTAGCATTGGCATCAGAAGTCCCCCCTCGACTGTCTGTTAGCCTTTCAAACGATTTGCTATTCTACAAACAACAAGAACAATTTGGCCAAGTGAAGCAAGGCAATAGGCAATAGACAATAGACAATAGAATGCTATATATAGTTAATGATCCAGAAGGGGACAGAGCCGCGCATCTGTTTATATATACATATATAGGTAATGGACTGTCCTTTGTTCTAGCAGCCCTCTGTTGATAAGTTGCCAATGGGACTCATTTATTTAAAGCAACTTTGAGCCATTGTCTGCTCTGGTCCCAGTCAAAGTTGCTTAATTAAAGACTTTCTAATAACATCCATGCAAATAATATTATAATTGAAAGCTCTTTTTGTTGTCATTATCTAATTATTTATCTTGCATTTATTTTTTCGGTATATTTAAAAAGTTTTCAAACCTAATTACAAATGAATTTTTAGTTGGCTTTAGCAAATTCATCTACTTTGTCAGATATCCGTTCGAATTAGTTATTTTTTTGGTAATTGACTTAGTAATTGGATCCGAATGCATTTGTGTTCGCACTCTTATTATGGCATATTTAATTTGATTAATTGCCGCGTTGCAGGCTTGTTTTATGCCCATTTCCGTAGGAAATTGTCGCGCGTTCATCAAAGTTGAAAGGGGGCTGACTTCAACCTGGCTAATTTGATGTGGTAAGAAGATGGGGGCTGCCATGAATTGGCTTTCGGTCGTCGACTGCACTGGTTGCATTTTGGTTTTGCGGTTGCCCGCAATTTTCTATTTGGTTTTAGACTGGACGCACTGGACTGGCCTTGGTTAGATTCACATTTTGAGTTGGTTTTCCATTAGCTTGCAAGATTCATAACTTTGCATTTGGTAATGGGAAACGGCACACAGGAAAACCACACCTCATATTTAATAAATCCGAAATTGTGACTTAAATTAACTAGCAACAAACTTTGATTTAAACTCCCAGTCTAAAGCCTTACTCTGGTCGCCTGAGCACCTCCAGTTTTTACGTATTTTATGGTATTTTTTCACTGTGCCTCTTCATCCAAAGTGTTTTAAGTGTCGCCGTGCATGCATGCAAATGAGGAGCCAATGCATCTGAGTCTCCGTTCCGAGCACAATTTCAAATTGATTTTTATGTAAATACACATTCGCGTATATCAAATCAAATGCATTGGCTCTGACAGTAGTTGCGTAACTGCGCAAGAAACTTCGATTAATGGCCACTTGTTTTTCATTCAATCAAAGTCCATGCATTGGGCCACACCTAAGACCAAGGACCGCATGCTACCGGAGACCGGAGCCGCAGCCGGTTTGGGAGGCGCTAGCTGCAGCAGCGGCGGCGGCGGCCTCACAGCCGCCTCCCCAAATCCAGCCCATCGACGCGCCTCTGAAGGCGGAGCCGCTCTCTACTACGGCAATCGCAAAGCCGAGTGGGGCTCTGAGAACACCGATGTGGCTAATAAATTCCGAAACTACGAGATCTAAGCGACATTCAAAGAATGTTGTGACGTGTTGTAGACGTGATGATTATCGTTGCTAAGAGATAAACTTGGACAGAGTCGAGCAGAGTACATTTTAGGCATATTTTTAGCCCCTCAGAGGGCAGTATATCTCGATGTGAATTTGAATAACACATATTCCAATTACAAATATTATTGAACAAAACAAATACAAGACATATACTAAGCGACAAAATATATATATCGAAAGAGCATGGAGTATTGACAAGCGAAGTTACGCAAACTACAAAATATTATTAACCAACTCTACTTACATACATATATACACATAATATATAAAGGAGTACGTTGTTCTATATACAGGCATAGTACATATATTGATGTGAAATTATAGCGTGCGTTGCAAACAAATTATATAAATGTTTATAGGTGTATAAAAATATGAAAAATGGTAATTATATATAAAAGAAACTGTAATTTCAATAAACACACGGCTTGGATGCGACGAGAGGTTAAAGTTAAGCTTAAGTGACACATTTAAAAGAAATTAGTCAAATTTTAAATGTATTTTTCAGTGGTTAATGTCAAAATGACTCACATATACAAGCACACACTATATAATGAATATATTTATCTACAACTATTTGTATATTGATGTTTGTATGTACCATGTGCCCCTATAAGACAATCCCTTTGGAAGTGTTTACCAGTGCACTAAAAAAAAAATTGATAACTCTAACTAAACCTAGCATCAAAATGCCCACCACACAGAACTTATTTAATGAGAAAAAGTAAAAAAAAAATCCCTACAAAAGCGAATTTAACAACTATATACACACACAAGAAATTGCATGGTCAAAAAAAAAACAAAAAAGAAAATTAAAAAAAAAACTTTCACTTGGTGTCCTTTAATATGCAAACCCAAAATTTGCAAACAAAACTAAATAACTAAACTATTTTATTTATTTACGAGAAAGAAGAGTCACTCGAAGACTAGCTTAAAAATAAATACCTAAACAAATAAGAAGAAATATAAATGTTTTGATGCATTGTTGTTTTTAATATTGATGTGTGATGCAATTCTTAAATGTTATACAAATGAATATCAAAATAAATATGAGCGAAAATTAAATTTGCCATCGTAAAGGCATATTATATAAATGTTTATTTTAAATCATATTGAATTTACTCAAATACACACATATTATTGAGCAACAATAATTAAAAACAGAAAACGGAAAACGGAAAAACTAGCGAAGATTTAACCATTTCATAACTGAAAAGAGAATCTTTTTAGATCGCAAGCCAAAGACAATTATTTTTGTGGGCCCACGTGGCGTATGAGACGTGCTTCAAACTAGCAATTATGCAAATACATAAATGTTGAATTTAATTTAGCTGAATTATGAATGTATAAATGGCAAACAAAAAACCAAATAAAGTCAACTATTTAAAGAAGTTTCTTCATTTGAAGAGGCTTCACGAAAACACTTGCAGCATTTTCATTTATTTGAACTAATCAGTATGTAGTACGAAATTCACTCTATTTGACTTTTATCCAGCTCCAGGACTTGGCTAAGCGTGAGCAGCGAGTCGTCCCACAGGTGACAAGGTCGGCGATCCGATTGCACGAATTCACGTATCCAGCGATTAAGCACTAAACAACAATAGAGTGTGGTTGTTATGCTAATCGCGCTTTAATGCTCAACACGATTCTCCACTTACCCCACTTGGAGCCCACAATAATGGGGCAGGCGCCGTGCATCGTCCTCACATCGCCCACGCCTGAAGCATGCAGATTGTACCAAAACGCGGCTAAAATTGAGCCAAATTGAGGAACATATAATTACGCTTATACAAACTTACGTTGGCTTGGATAAGAAATAACCTTAAATACTATTAGGCTCCAGTCTCAGAATAATATTTAATCTGGAGCTCTTAACCAAATTGTGGCAACATTGAACACGTTGTTTCAGGCTGCGTAATGTATAATAGTACAAAAGTTCATTTTGGTTTATACTCTGGTGACATAATAGAGTCCATTAAGCAGAGCTAATTCACGTACCTGCATATTTCTTTGGCTTCAGCAATTGCTTCAAAACGGGAAATGCGGTGCCGCCACCCTGTTCCACATCGGTGAGCTATAAGCAAAGAAAAATATGTTTTTCAGTGGATTGTGTCAACAACAAAGGCATCGAAGCGACTCACATAGAATAACACGGTGGCAATGCGATTGCCCATTTCTATGCTGGACACCTGCTCAGTTGCAAACTGTCAAACGAGATTAGAGAAAATTGACTGTAAACGAACTGTCGAGGCTACTTACGGCGTTCGGATAGAACCAGTCCATATGCTGGGCATAGTGGCCGCCAATGCCGTAGTTGGCCAGCTGATGATGCTCCGCATATTCTGCAACTCAAAAATGTATCATAAATGCCACGCGCACTGTTCCAGCTGAAGCTTACCCAAGTTCAGATCGGTCATATCGGCCACACGCTGATCGATGGTGCGCAGTACTTTGTGACGGGTCTTCGGGATAAAGGTGAACTGGCTGGTGCGCGCGTTGGATACAACGGATGAGTTGTTGCCCATTACTGTGGCACGCTGAATCTTATTTTTGATGAGCCTAGCTATCGTGTCAATTTCACTCTGGTAGATGACATCATGGTAGACCACAAGCAGTGGATCGTGACTCAGCTCCTCGACTTTTAGAGGTGCCAGTAGCAGGAAAGGATGCGTCTCGCTCATGTAACCACAGCGCAGCCGACGCAGCTCGCTAGGCGTTGGCTTTATATGACCATTGCAGGTGTAGCGATACAGTTCGAAGTCGCTCAGCTTTGTAAAATCCTCGGGCAAGGGCTACATGGCTAGCAAATATTAGATAAGTCAGAGAAATACATTTCTATACGTACTGCATGCTCTTCGACTGGCTCAGCGGTCAGCTCATCAATTTGATGTTGGACTTGCATCAAGTCTTCATACTTATTCAAGGGCGTCTCACTGCCTGGCTCTACATTCTGAAGAACTTGCAGGGTACTATTTACGCCTCTATGATCACTTAGCCTGGCTTTGACTTTTACTAACTGCCGCAAGATGAGTGGCTGTAGTTGAGCTCGATCGCTGTGTGATAGACGGCTGTTCGCCTCAAGCAGCCAGGCGTGTGCCAACTGCAGATGATCATCTCGTTCTGCCTGTTGGGCTATGTCCAAGCAGTGCTGAGCGTTTAATTGAGTACTTCAAAGAAGATTAAGTGAGGTATATTATTTTTCTTTTCGCAATTTATTTGTCATTTGGCTCACCCGTAGGAAACACCGTCGAGCACTCCAGCAGCCACATGTTTGGTCTTCAATCTATAAACGAATTGCAGACGCAGCAATCCATCGATGGCGCCCTCCAGTTCCCGAGCGTTCGGCATGCTCTCGTGCTGGCGCAGCCGCTGCAGGCGTAACAGGGGTTCTGTAATTGGAGTGTACACAGAGCGTATACTTAATGAAGTTAGCATGTAAGTGAATTGGACACCCACTCGCTCCGGTTGTGGCAGCCATGAGATTTGCAATGTGTTCCCAGTCCAATGTCAGACGTTTGCTCAGCAAATATTTGTTCAGCGGACTTTCGAAGTACGCCACGCCCCATTGCTCAGCTTCGTCACGCTCGCGCTCGAATTCGTCCAGCCGCCTGTCATTGCAGATTGAATTGCATCAAATTGAATTAGTGCCAAGCCAGCGTCAACTTACGCTCTCAGAAAATCCAATTTGCTCTCATTATCAGCTATGAATTTTTGCATGTGCTGCAACATTTTCTGCTCATAGCCAAAGACCTTGGACATCGCATGCACGGAGGAATAGAACTCAGCCTCGGCACCGCACCAGCCAAGTACTGCCAGCACAGCCAGCACCCCGCCGAGCCTACATTGTGTGTCGAAAAAATACCTTTTTAGCAGCATCTCTGTTCTCAGCTACGATTCGCGGTCAACTGATTTTGCCAATTGACCCCGCCTGCTGATGCCTCGGTCGATAGCTTATGCATGGTCATGGTCTCCACACAAACATATATTACATAATTTCAAACAGTTCCAACTCAGATGCCAATAACTAATTAAGCCAAACCGGTTTCCATCTATGGAAAACACAAAGAAAGTCTGGGTTCATTGTGCCTACTAACTGGTTTCGCATCTACGTTCTCTGGCCGTCGTGATCTCGCCCTCTTGCTCAACTTGATTTGCATTTTATCATTCAGATTGACTTTGGTATGAAATGCTTTTCTGAAAATGTAACTGCTTTTTATTAAGGCAAGAGCAGAGTACTCTTACCTGTGTTTTGAGGCCGAAGTACACACTCCCAAATAAACCTACCCTCCCCTCCTCTCCCCTTATGTTTTCATTTCAAAAGACAGAACTTAATAAACACTAACGGACAGCTGTGTAAATGTTTGCCTAGTCTTAGACGTACTTAGTTCGTGAACTATTTCTATTGTCAGCTATAGACGAGCAGTCAGTAACGTTTGGTACGCAGTGTGGTTAAAATGATTCGGATGACTGCGGCTCTGTTGATGTTCGGATTGGGCTGTCTTCACATGGGTTTTATTTTTGCCGAATTTGCTGAGCCGAGCAATGGAATTGCAAGTTATCTGGAATTGGAGGCTGTTCTGGTGAAACAGTTGGAGTCTTATTTGGACAAGGTAGAGAATGAGCAAGACATGATTACAAGGTAGATATTATGCCAATATAAATGAGTTGCGAGTTTGAAAGTAAATGTTATTATTTATTGCAGTCACCTGCTCGATATCAACCAGGTGCATATCGATATAGATGATACAGAAGAGCACTTTGGGAATCCAGTCAATGCGTTCAGGACCATCAGTCGGTTCACAAGCACCTGGAAGCATGAGATCCTCGATGTATTGCTTGATAACTCCACGTATAGCACATATGTTAACGGAGTAGCCAACGAGATGAATAAGAAAAAACTCGAAGTCCCACTAAATGAGCATCTCCTAGGCGCCAGCGATAATCTATTGGAGCTGCAGGAAAGCGAAGGCCTGACCACATCTGAGTTGGCCAACGAAGAGGTGCTGAGAGACGAAAATTCTGGCAAGAGTGTGATTCTCAGCGCCAGCGATTGCTACGTCTTTGGACGCAATCTGAATCAGCTGCAGCACTACGAATATGCAGCGCAGTGGCTGCTGCAGGCGCAACAACGTGCAGCTCAGGAAGCGCCAACGTTTCCTAATGTCAGCAAAACACGTATACTGGAAGAGTTGTCTCTGGCATATAGAAAGCTAGACAACATTAAGCTCGCCAACAAGCTCAACAACGAAATTCTAAAACTTGAACCGACCAACGAGGCAGCCCTTAATAATAAAATCCTGCTACAGAAGGAACTGATACTAGAGCGCATAACCATGTCCAAGCTCAACCAAGACGGCCTAAGATATGAATGTTAATGGTAATTGGGTTCAAGGTAAACCCAACTGAAAATATTGTTAGCTAATTGAATTTAAATATGTTTAATAATTTTAAGCATGTTAAATAAACGTGACTGTTCAGCAGTGATTAAGTCTGTAAGATTGACAGCAAAAATTGTTTATTTTAATTCGGGAAAGTCTGATAGAGTAACTTAAGCATTGCAGAGATTCTGATATTCAAAGAAAGCAGCGGAATGCAAACTTACTTATATAGGAGAACATATATTCGTGGATTCATGCATTTAGATAAGTTTTTAAAAATATATAGAAAAACAAAACAAATATTTCAAGACTGGTAAAATTAATTTTTATTCACATTTAAGAGAAGAAGACACATTTTTTTATTAACTCATTAAATTTGATATATAAATATATATAATTGGGATATAGATATATGTAGTCAAACATTCATTATCAGATTTTACACACTAAATTTAACTTTTTATCTCAATTTCACAGCCAAAAAGTGAAGGAAAATTATAATAAAATTAAATTTAGTAGCGCTCGCTTCAACGGTTCAGAATCAGAAATCAATCAGGAATTTGTCCAAATTGTAATTAATCAATTCAAGCTCCAAGACAAAAGCAAAGATATTATATTAATTAAATTAAAGTTCAGCAAAATTACCTTGGGTTTAATAAAGACTTAACAATCAACTGGGCAGCAGCAGCACGTATTAGGCATAACAAAGCGAAACCTATGTGAACATGCCTCACTGTTGTGCAACTAATGAAATTGAAACTCAAAGGATAGGAAAACCACAGAAGGACTAATTGCTCAGACATAGCTTGAAAGCGCTTCCTAGTAGAGCCATTGAGGCAATGCCAGATGAAGTTCATTTCTTGAAATTGAGTTGCTTATTACGATTATTTGGAAATTTGCTCAATATCAGGCAATATTTGCTGGAACTGCCTGCAAGCTCTTTGACTATTGAGTAACTATAGCAACAATCGACATTAGCTCATGCATAATTCATAATTCACACATGAATGAACTTAATAGTAATTACATAAATTGCAAATCTGCCTGAAATGAGTTACAAATTAAAGACTTTTTGTATGAATTTGAATGCTTCGTAAGTTAGCATTTATAAAACACTAAAAAGGAGTCCAGTTGTTACTATAAATTTGTCTTCAGCAGCTGCAGCCAAATTTAAGAGAAATATCCAAGTTGCAGCAGTTTAAGTGGGGCTTAAGAGCTCATCTAAAGCTTGAGGGTTTAAGTGTTTTACACAAGTGAAAATATTAAGTGTTTCCAGGAGCCACAGCGCATAGCTCCCAGCGGAGCTGCTTAAGAGTTGCTTGTGCTACAACTAACTTGATTTGGTTATAAAATTATGATTATTAGTATGATTATTAGTATATATGTAGTATGTAGACTCGTTTTACTAACTACAATAGATTAATCACAGAATGAATAAACAAAGCACAGCTAAAGAACCCACTCTCAAGAGTAAGAGAATTCGAGAAACTGAACAAGATGAAGTTCAAAGGCCTATTTCACCTTTCACATGCTCGTGCAAAGTTTCTTAGTTTCAGTTTAGCCACAGCAGTCTGACAGCTTGGTCCATCGTTACAGCATAGCAGCTTTGGCACCAATAAGCAGGCATTAGAATAAACAACTCACCTGCCATTGACCCGGACTGTCACAAAAACAACAATAATAAAGCAAACGGCTAATTATGCAAATGCCAGCAGTAGAGCGATGGCTGTGGCTACTTTGGCTAGCTTTGATGTGGCCAAGAGCTCTGGCTGGCAGCAGTGAGGAGCATTTGCGGGGGCTGCTGGCCACAGAAGCATCGCTCATCGACGCGCTGCGAGACTATATCGATGGCTTAGCTCAGCAGCTGGAGGTAATTAAAGGCGAGACTGCGGCCATAGAGAAGGTACATCAGCTGGTGGGTAGTCGGGTGGAGGAGCATATGGGCAATCCACTGAATGTGCTCACCATACTGAAGCGTTTCCAAAGCGTTTGGCCGCTGCTTGAGCAGAAAGCAAATGCCACACACAATCTAGGTACAAATCTTCCAGATTATAAGATGGATTTGCAGCTGCCCAGCGAGGAGGACTACGAGGAGGCGTTGCTCAATCTACTGCGCCTGCAATCAGTGTATGACCTCAAGCCAGCCACCCTCTCCCTGGGCATAGTCCATGGCCTTAAGGTGGGGTAAGTATGCCCCAAAATGCAAACAAATGCAAAGCACATAATATATACGTTTCGACTCAAACAGCTCGGCCATGTCATGGAGTGACTGTCTCGAAATAGCACGCAAGTCCGAAAGAAATGGTGACCATGCCGTTGCCAAGCACTGGCTGGAGACGGCGATGGGAAAAGTGCCAGCTGAGTACAATGCTACAACGTCGCTCAGTGAACAGGAACGGGCCAAGGTTCAGATACTGGAGACATCGCTCAATATGGATTACCGTGCAGGTGCATCTCACAGGAATTCATAAAACTTTGTCTATTTTTTACAAATTCCTTATTTGCATCAGGTGAATTCTTAAGCGCACTCAGAACAGCCAAAGAACTGTTGCTCCTGCGTCCTGCTAGCCAAAATGTGAAAAAAGCAAAGGCCAAGATAGAACGAGCCTTGAACAGAAGTCCAGACAAATTTGTGTCGAGCACTAAGCCCAAGGCACAGGTAAACGCAATTGTTCAAAAGTTGTGAAGCAAAACCCACAAGTATCCGATTGATAATCAATTTGCATTGTTTTGGTCGAGGCTAGGCAACTTGAAGAGGCTCTGTCCATTTCCGAAGAGAAAAAGGAAAATGCTGAATTATACTGTATGTATATTCAATTTGCTAGATCTGTAGAGGAGGTCAGCAGCAACTTAGCTCTTAAATTTGGAGTTTGAGTTAAAGCTGTAGAATATACACGCCTCCAGTAGGCGTAGAAACATCAATATGGCCATCAATGGCCAATACTTAAAAGGATTCTACAATAACGTGACTATCTTCTACTATAAACTTTTGCCACGCCCCCATGGGTGCAGATATATATATACTCACGAGTATACATTACAAGTTTCAAGTCTCTAGCTGCAATAGTGCTTAAAATATAAAAAAATTTTAACAAAACATATATTTTCATTATATAAATATTATTTTTGTCGATCTGTAGAGGATCTCAACAGTAATTTTGCCAATTTGTCATGATATAGTTAAATACACTAACTCTGTTTGATCTTTGATTATTCTAAATTTAGAATTTAAATAGTTTGCAAGCAACAAGACGAACATTGCACCAAACTAATATACTCTCTTCACTAGGTGAACAAGTATAAAAACAAAAGCATCTCTGCACACAAAAATTTGTTTTTATATTTTAGGTTTGAATTAAATAAATCAAACATAATTGAATTTTAAATATGCAAAGCATTAGCGTAAACAGCTCTGACTCCACAAAGTCTTTATAAACTCTTGACTCAATATATAGTCAATATAGCCTTTTACGTATATCGAAATATGCCAGATCGAATTATATTACAACATACAAATAACCGGCTAACATTTGCTTAGTATATGAAGATACATACTAAAAGTCTTCATATACATACACGTGGCTTCATGGCTGGTCGATTTATATTCGGCTTTTGTTTACTTCACCTGAATTGATATTTGCAAAAGTTACAGCGTATTCCAATAGGGTGCTTACTTACTCAGAAATTACAGCTAAAAACAGGGGAACGCTTTTGCTTTTATATAGTTGTATCTTGGCAGACATCATCTCTCAAAAGAGAGAACGAATGGCGAAGTAGATATGTCGAAGTTTCTCACTTTTTCAATCTCTCTTAGCTTTGCACTTTGATATTCAATCAAATTTCTAGCGAAACCCCAACTGTCTATAATTATATAAATTTCAAGTTGTTCTCAAACTTCTTATTTAAATTCATTTCAAGTTAACAAAGTCCGTCGAGCAGCTGATTGTTGATGAGCTGTGCCGTGCGTCCGCACAGCAGCCCACAACAGGAAGCCGGTTTACAAAGTGCCGCCAAGATGTATCAGATCTACGCATGCTACGCTTGGAGCAACTGAGTGAGCAGCCATATATCATGCTGTATCATGATGTACTCAGCTCCCAGCAGACTGAGCAGCTAATTGGTATGCTGGATGAGGTGCCGCAACTGCGGCAGTCCAACAGCATGGCTTTCGAGCCTTTGAAACTCAGTAAGCTGGCGCAGCGAAGGATGCGTGGCATCCACTCTCAACTGGGTATTGCCGGTGCTCAGCCGGAGCTGTGGCAGGCACGTCGTCATAGTCACGAGCATGCCACATCACCAGTGGAGCCAGCGAGCACATCGGAGCATGTGGCACGTGCTCTGCTCAATGTGCGTAATTTAAATGCAATGATTAACTAATATGTCACTAATTGGACTATTATCACCTCACTCCATCAATTAGCTGCAAGAGGCCAGGCTGGGCGGCGCCATTGTTTTTCCACAGCTGGAGCTCAGTGTGTGCGTCCCACGAGGTTCGCTGCTCTACTGGAGTCTGCGCAGCCAAGATGAGTATCCAGCTACGTCGAGGCCGGATTACCGAAGCCGCCAGCTGGTCTGTCCGGTGCTGCTGGGCGCACAGCTGTGTAAGTAGAACCGGAAAGACACCTTCTATATGTGCTCTACAGATGTGTTTGCTTTCATTATTTTCAGCGGCCTGGACGCAGCTCAGCTAAGGTCGCATTAAGAAATTTGACTGATTGATGTGCCTTTTAATCTTTTACTAATTGCCGCAAATGAGAATAAAAACTCAAGTTTTGACATTTTATTGAATTCCATTTGCATTTTCATCTGGCGTTGCGGGCGTGGCCGTTGGCTAATTGGCGGGCAAACAAATTCAAATATTTATGCATCGGAGCAACTCATAATGAAAATTTGAGCTGGGCATTTGTCAGGTTTTGGTCAAATGCCTTTTCGCATCTGGCAGCAGGAAATAGTTAAAGTCAATACTAAAAACTCATAAAGTTGAATACAAATTTAAACGTTAAGCATTCTGGATATCTGTGTAAATCAAATGTCAATTAAAACAAACAATAGCAGTTATAATGAATTTTACTTGCCCGTCAATAAATTCAAAATCCAATAAAAAACCCGACTAAACCACATACCCTATTCTTTTTAAGAATCGATAAAATATTGTTTGGCAGCTGATTCGTTTTATTTCTGTCTTAGGTTCAAATGTCATTCCCTGATTGATTATAACATGAGAAGTATATTAATTAGTTAGAAAAAAAAACAAATACATATGAGCATCATTCACTGTATATATCCGGCAGATTTATATATAATATGACTATTAGCTCTAATTAGACCATATGGAAATTAGCACAAATTATCTATTGAATATTGTATATTTCGCAATTACAGGGTATAATGATGCTTATTTGATAGTCTGAACGACACTTTCCAACACTGTCGCATCGTTACTGCCGACTGCATTATTAAATATCAAACAACGCGTTCTTAATTAGCCAGCATTAATAAGCCATCGAATAAGGCAACGATATGCCGCGACAGTGGTGAGTAGAGAGAACTAGAACTCGGGCCTGGTCAACAGCAACAGCAACAGCGACATCGAAATCGAAAACGAAAACGAAAACGAGCTAATGATAAGCATCACTAAATCAGCTTTGGCTAAGCCATAAAACATGCTTAATCGTCACGAAACTCGTATGCTCTTCATTAGAGTGGCTCATAAAGCTATACTTATATTTCATACATAGACATAGACATAGACATATGCACCCCTCAATTGTTTATGCAAATACTGTTCTATACGGTTAGCACTTGGTCGCGGGCATCAGATCTTCTAATCGCGTTCGCCTAAATGTCTGTCATCACTGGTTTTATTCATGGGGATGCTCGCTCCAAGCTGCGACGGCCGATGGCGATCAGTTTGCTGTGAGACGCGAGGTACTGCAGACGACTACCATAGTTTTCAGCTGCTATATCCCCATATAGTATATCATTTGTATATATAGACTTATCTGGAAGTGAAGATGCGGGTCAACTGTGGACTGCTGGCACTATTGGTGCTGGGCAGCCTGCGCTATGGTCTGGCTTCGGATTATTACTCATCGATCACAGGATTGGAGCAGTTGCTGCACACGGAGCACATTTTAATGAGTGACTTGAGCTCTCAGCTGGATGTGGCCAAAAATGTCCTCTTGCACTTAGAAAGGTGAGTGGGTGAGCAGAGAAAAAATGAAATTGAAAGGAAACTGCAATTACTCAGATTTGTTAGGTAATTTCTGTTCTCTGATATAGTTCAGTTTTCACTACGACTATTCATTAAGTGCTAATCAGCTTCGGGTTATCTAAATGCCATCAGCTTTAGCTTATCAATTGGTCTTTTATTGTTCAAGTTTATCATATACTATCCACAAAAATATACTATAGTATGCTATAAAATATTCAGAAATAATTTTCCGCTCAAACAACTATTGGCAAACTCTTACTGTTTAGCGTTTAGCATTTCGCTTTCGCTTGATCGTGTAGTAGAAAAAGTTTTGTGTTTAAAATCACGTAGATTCTCAAATAAATTAGAATTAATTAAGTTTTGAAGTCTGGCGGCTCGGGGTTCTTATGTCTATGACGCCGTCGAAACTGGTAGCTATAGATTTGTGATTTGAGTTTAAACTCGTCTAAGCCGAAATCCACAACCTGATCCACAGAGAGCTGTCGGCCATAAAGGTGGAACATGCACTGGCTGCTAAAGGCCTGGAGAACTATCTGACCAATCCGGTCAATATTTATCGCCTCATGAAGCGGCTTCACACGGACTGGCAACAATTGGACAGTCGCGTCCAGCAAATGAGCAGACAACTGCGTACGTATCCTGCATGTATCAGTGTCACTGCAATGCTGTAAAAGGAAACTCAAATGAACTATTTCAGGCTTCAACATTACACAACACGATGGCCTAAGCTTTCCCAGCCAGGAGGATGTGGACGGAGCCGCATTGGCATTAGTTCGCCTGCAGAGCACCTATAAATTGGATGTAGCTCAAGTGGCCGCCGGCATATTGAATGGCATCAAATACGGGTGAGTGAGCGGGCGAGGGGCGTAACCCAAATAAGCAATAACCAGTCAAGCTTAAAATACGGGAGCAACACACACACAAGCTCACACTATTTAGCTGTGGTCAGGAGCGGACTCACTCTGCTGCGGGTAAAGGCGCGCGAAGCACTTGACTATTATAGATAAATTTGCGAAAGATAAATTGAGTCGTGCAGACTCTGATCTAAATATTATAGTCTAGATGCATTCTACATCCGCACACCTTATGGCATTCCGCACCCGTGCGCTGGCTTTAGCTGTGGGAAGTCGTGTGTCGTTGCCCAGCTAAGCACCACTCATATTCATTTCGATTTCTGTGCTGGCATTATTTTTAGCACGGACATGAGCTGGCAGGACTGCTTTGTGTTGGGTCAACAACTCTTTGAAATGGAGGACTACAACAACACGAAAGTGTGGCTGCGCGAGTCCATGGAGCGATTGCGGCGCCATCAGCCACGACCCACCACCCCAGAGCCAGCCTTGCTGAACAGCATGGAAATGGTGGCACAGAGTTTATTCCGTATGGGTGAGCAGACTCGGTTACCACTCGGCCAACTTGCATGCATATTTACCAAACGATTTTAGGCGACTTCGACACGGCATACGAACTGAGCCAGCGCGTGCTGGAGCTGGATCCGTCGCGCATACGGAATTGGCATCTGGGCGATAAGGCCGCCAACGTGGTGCACGACGAAGGCGACGATGGGGCGCACCAAAGGCATGCAGCTGGCTACAGAGTGAGACCTTCAACACAATTTATCTTTGTAGTTTTGTGACTAATTTTGGAATTCGATCCGCACAGCTCTCGCAGGAGTTCAACCACTACGAGAAGGTGTGCCGCGGCGAGGTTAGCCCCTCCGCAGCCCAGCAGCGCCTATTGCGCTGTCGCTATACACGCGGCCGGCACGCCTATCGAGTGCTGGCACCGTTTAAGCTGGAGGAGCATAACCACGACCCATTGGTGGTTAGCTACCACGACATGCTCAGACCGCAGCAAATTGACGAGCTACGAGAAATGGCTGTGCCACACATGCAGCGGTCCACGGTTAATCCGCTGCCCGGTGGTCAACGCATGAAGTCGGCATTTCGCGTGAGCAAAAATGCATGGCTGCCGTACAACACGCACCCAATGATGGGGCGGATGTTGCGTGATGTGGGCGATGCCACAGGTCTAGACATGACCTACTGTGAGCAACTGCAGGTGGCCAATTACGGCGTTGGCGGCCACTACGAGCCTCACTGGGACTTCTTCCGTGATACGCGCCACTATCCTGCCGCCGAGGGCAATCGTATCGCCACGGCCATATTTTATGTAAGTTGACATTACAGCATGAGGCCCACTGACTCCAGCTCATGTACAGAATGTTTCTCTTATGAACCGCTGCAGCTCTCGGATGTGGAGCAGGGCGGTGCCACAGCGTTTCCCTTTCTCAACTTTGGCGTGCGACCGCAGCTAGGCAACATTTTGTTTTGGTACAATTTGCATCGCTCCTCCGACAAGGACTATCGCACCAAGCACGCGGGCTGCCCCGTACTAAAAGGCAGCAAGTGGAGTGAGTATTTTCGCGACTCCAAAAAAGTGTCCGATATCACAATTTGCATCAATATTTACTTTCAAAATAGTTATTACGCAAATTACGCCGTACAGAAACTTAAACATGCTTTCCTATCTGAAATGCATACTCGCTTTAAGGGCCAATTCGAGTTTTAGAAATTTAAAATTTTAATCAAGTAGATTACTTAATAGCTGAGCAACACAAACCCTAATCAGGCTTGTTTATATGCCATTTTATGGAACGTTAAGGTTAAGTCTAAGAGTCTTTGAGTTACAACATTTAATAATATACATAATCTTTAATATATATTTTTGATTAAATTTAAATTACTAGTCTCTCAAATTGATATATAAACAATTATAAATAAGTGGAGATAAACTTCTTACTAATTTTCTAAAAATTGTTGTTTCGTTAGATTTCATTGCATTCCCAACATAAAAATTGCATTTGCTATTAGAGACCGTTGCACAAGCACTAAAAATTTTAATTGTTGAATTATGAATTTAAGTAGTCTACTTATTGAACTTGTTAACTTTAACTAAAGCAATATAACTTTGGAAGCATTCGACATTCTCTTAGCTGACGTCAGTTGTTGAATTCTCAAATTCGATTACAAAAAGTTAAGACAAATCAAGTTCAATAAACTAGCTAGATTGATAAATATTCAAGAGATATCTGAGAAAGCACTTATTTTCCTTTTTCTCCGAATTCCTTCTTTCTTCTTAGTGATATTCCTATCTTAAAACCCATCACAAACGTATTAATTTTATTTCTCTTTTATTGTATCTATTTTTTGAACAGTTGCCAACATTTGGATACATGAGGCCACACAGACATTTGCTCGGCCTTGTGATGTATTCCGGGATAATGAAGTTTCCGTGGGCTATGATATTATCAAATAAACTTGTTGATTTCTAGCCATTCTTCTTTATGACTTTTTTATTTGATTGTAACAACATTTGAGCTTGCCTTCCTAAGCCGGCAATTGTAGTTTGAAAATAATTATAATATTCTAATGGGGTACTAAGTACAGCTCTGCAATTGTCTTTTATAGCACGACAACCCAAACTTGTTTAACAATACACAATAAGTAAACGAACACATACTGGAGATCAACTTTTAGCTCTATGAAAAGTCAAGCTCATGTGTTTATAGGGTTAAAACTCAGTTTTGAGCAGTTCCGCGCTGCGAACTTGACTCAAAACAAACCGTGAGTCGACGACTTAATTGAGTTGAGCTCAGTTTTGCCGGTAATTTGCATAAGCAAGTTCACGGCAAAGTTTTAGCGGCTCATTTGCATGTTAGCGGAATGACAAAGCGACGGCTCTCCAGCGAGCAGCTTAGTGAAAGTAATTAGCAGAGAGAAGCGTTGTGACAAATATTGCAAATATTGCTACATGCGATAGTCTCTCAGACTGGCCGAAAACTAATTAGTGAACAATTAGGAAATATGTGATAGTTGGACAATTCGAAGTTTATTGAACTCGTGCTCTCTTTATTACCTGCTGGCTCGCTCCAATCTAGCCTGTCGGTGGAGCCTCGAGGGCAGTTCTTTGACCACGGCTTGCTATGCGGCTTGACCACGAGCCGCGGCAAAAGCTTAAGCTCCACGAGCTTTTGCTAGACTAACGAACTGCCAAGACTGTTTGTTGTTTTGCAAGCGGATCGAGCCCGAACAGTTCTAAGCGACGCGCCGAAGCAAAGACAGCACGAGCTCTTTGACTGAAGACGCTTCAGTTCGTATTTCAGAAGTTTATCGAAGAGGACCAATTGCATTGAAGATGTCACCGGGAATTACACTTTTATTATTTGGACTGCAAATTCTTGCATCCAATGCGGAGTTTTTCAGCTCAACCAGCGGCCTGGAGCAGCTGCTGCGCACGGAACTCATACTGATGACACAGCTGCAGATATATGTGAATGAAATAAGGGAACACGCAGACATACTTCAGGCGTAAGTTACTCACTCCTTTCACCAGCCCAAAGAGACAGGCGAAGTAGTATTTTTTTTCTTAAAATCTTATCAATAAAGTGAGCCAAAGCAGCTAATGGATTATTAAGTAGTAGGCATAGCTCGACTGAGAGTTCCCCGGCCAATCTGGTTTTATTAGCCCAATCGACTCAGATGCCTTAATTGATGTCTTCTTTAAATCCAACTAGACAGGCTATAATTTCTTCTGCAAACTCATCAAACTGAGCTATTAGTGAGCTTGTGAATACTTTGTCTACGTAAATAATTGAAAATTAATAATCAAATGTGGTATGCCCATATATGATGCGAGAGCCCACGTAAATTGTTTGTAAAGAATTTATATTCTTGATCAGCCAAAGCAACTGCTGTCGGCCTGCTTTGTTTTTGTGCTGTTCGTCGAGCCTCAGTGGAATCTGAGAGTAACTGGTGTTAGCTGAGCTTTCTACACATCTTTTTGCTAATCATTTGCCTTGGGCCATTTTTATTTTTATTTCTTTTAATTACAATTCATTCTCGTATTCCCACTTGACCGGTTCACATTAAGCCGTCCGAATCGTAAGAGTGGCCTAAGGGAAGGCAACAAGTACACAGATACAACCCGAATATGCACAAGCAAAAGTAACTGTATTTGATATTGTATATAATATAATTGAATATTTACTTGGTTTGTGTTTTGTCATCTGCTATTCGACACACAGTTGTTAAAATATAAAAGCTGCTAATATCTATAGTCATTTAACTAATATACTGAGTAAGTTGACTGCTTCGGCGCGTTTTTGATGTTTAAATTTTATAATCTAACGACATCGATGGTTACTACAGTTGCTGCTGTAGGTGTCAACGACTTGTCAGGCTTTTGTGTGTATCTTTAGACTGCGACTTGCAAACCGGCTCAGCGGTCTATATATAATGCAAAAATATATATTAAAAAAGCGTTGTTAACAAATTTCTAAATAATATAATAAACTCCAATAAAATTGAAATTTGATGTTTATCTTGACTGCAGAGAGGAACACGTTTCAGTTCCGTTTACACCATGCCACAGCTCCGCAGTCTGTAGAGCACATTAAAAATAGAGAATTGCTTAGGATCCGAGTCGAAGCATTAGTTATTTATGATCGGACTTGTTGAGAACAAACGAGTGCTACTACCTAATCAATAGCCCGATAAAATCGGATACTCCCTAGCTGGCAGACTCTGCGACATTGCCGTTTAGAGTTATGGCGACATTTAATCCCAGATAAATGAGGAGCAGCATTAAAACAAAGTCGTGTGTTTGGACGCAAGCGTAAAAACAAATTCATTATTTATTTGAAGTGAGCGCCGCGCCTTTTATAAGCATTCCATCATACTCTCACAGCGGGTATTATAATTTAACAAAAATATATGCAAAAGAGAGCTAATTGGAGAAAAGAACAGGAAGCAACATCAAAATGTTGCAGAAACAGGGTAGAGATGGCAAGATATAGTGCAATATCACATGTAAATTAGGTGAGAGTCTGGGCCAAGTGAATTAGACTTTCGACACAAATCTTGATCAAAGCGCGTGAATGAGAAAGCCGTTTTGAAGCTCGTGAGAATCGCAAAGAAGGGCAGCACAATGGAAACTTTTTGATTGACATAAGGCAAACTAGATACATACATACAGACAGACACACACACATACGTTTGTCGACATAGAGTAGAGTATAACGCAGCTGAGTAGACCCCACTGCAGTGTGGACGTTTGTCTTTTTAAGTTTTGATTAATTGTATAGTGACACTCTATTAAAGTGCTTATTAATGGGATGTCATGCGCACCAGCAGTGCTTAAATGTGTCCAAGCATAAGCTAATAAGTTAAATATGCAAATTAAAAAATAAAATCTGATTAATGCTTAACACGCCAACGATGCTAGTAACTTCAACAAAAATTCCATAATTTTATTACTGCACAATTTTTGCTGCAGGGAAATCAATGAGATTAAATCGGAGCATCTGACGGCAGCGAATAGCATCGAGAGCTATCTCAACAATCCGGTGAATGCGTTCCGACTGATAAAGCGCCTGCACACCGACTGGGAGACCTTGGAGGAGAGCGTGGAGAGCGAGCGGAGCCGCACAAGTTGGTATCCGAACAGGGCATCACTCACATGCCACAGCGAGAATGTTATCATTATCGATTTGACTAAACTCCTTTCCATTTGGCATCCCTCTGGTGCCTCGGCTGCCACTTTTACAATAGATTACCTCGAGGCTATGGCGAGCCACCGACAGAACTTGAGCTTTCCCACCATGGAGGACTTTGTGGGCACGACTCTGGCGATGACGCGGCTACAGCAGACCTACCAGCTGGACGTGGGCGAGCTGGCGAGTGGCATGCTGAATGGTGTCAAGTACGGGTGAGTGATAGCGGCGATGGGCGTGGCACGTGGCAATCACAAATCACACTCGACAGCTTGTTACAGTGCGGCGATGTCGTGGCAGGACTGCTTTGTGCTCGGCCAGCATCTATACACGATGCGCGACTTCAACAACACGGTGCCCTGGCTGGAGCAGTCGATGCGGCTGTTGGCGAAGCAGAGCTACAGCCAAGAGCCGGTTTCCTTGGATTTCATGGAGACAGTCATGGGCTACCACGAATCGATGGGCGACTACCAAAATGCACTCAATCTGATTAATCATGTGCTGACCGTGCAGCCGGAACAGCGCCTCCATCTACTAGAGACGCGCACACACTTGGAGCAGCTTATCTCAGACGGCGTCAAGCGCGGCCTAATGCACGAGGTGGCGCGCAGTCCAGACGACTACCACATCACCCGAGAGTATCTCATCTATCAGCAGGTCTGTCGCGAGGAGTTGAAGCCCACAGCCGCGGCGCAACGTGACCTGCACTGCCGCTTCTACAGCGGCCATGGGCAAAGGCTGACCTACCTGAGGTACAAGTTGGAGGTGCTGCATCTGGATCCCTACATCATACAGGTGCACGAAGTCATCAGCGCCCCGGAGACTGTTGAGTTGCAGCACGTGGCTCGGCCAGAGCTGCAGCGCTCCCAAGTTTATAGTCCCACTAATAACCAACAAATCTCAGCTAACTTTCGCACCAGCCAAGGCACGACCTTTCAATATGAGGAACATCCAATCATGAAGAGGCTGAGCCAGCACATGACCATGTTATCCGGTTTGGATATGCGCTTCGCGGAGCCACTGCAGATAGCCAACTACGGCATAGGAGGTCACTATGAGCCCCACATGGACAGTTTGCCAGACTCGTTTGACTACAGCTCGACTCCGTATAAAACCAATCGCCTCGCTACAGGCATCTTCTATGTGAGTGTGCACAGCTGAAATTTCTGTAAGCTTTTTATTCCTCAACGCTTCTTTGTGCCCAGTTGTCCAATGTGGAAGCAGGCGGCGGAACTGCCTTTCCCTTTCTGCCGCTTCTCGTCACGCCTGAACAGGGCAGCCTGCTCTTCTGGCACAATTTGCATCGCTCTGGGGATGCAGACTATCGCACTAAGCACGCTGCCTGCCCAGTGCTGCAGGGCAGCAAGTGGAGTGAGTAAACAAATAATGTGCAGGCTCGCGCTTAATTTAATCAAGAAAATGCCTTGTGCTTCCAGTTGCCAATGTGTGGATACGTTTGAGAAACCAGGACCACGTGAGACCCTGCGAACTGCAGCGCGATCACGAGATCTCTCTACCCTATATGGACTTCAAATAGGAATTATTCAATCATATTTGTTTGCCATTTGTGATACGTATCGGATCAGATTATGTAATTGGCCATAGGTGACATATCATTTGATACAGCAAGCCCTAAAAGAACCCTTAGAGCACACGATAAGCTGATCGTAAATAAAAAGATTAATTTAAAGAGTAGTTAAGCATGTTGACGTCTTAGGATGAGTCCAATTGCATCTTTGATTCATTTGTATCTCAAGCCTTTATTCATTCGAATTTAGCGAGCAGGGACGACGGAACTCCTGATGAGCCGAATGAATCCAAATGTTGCCAACTATCAAGAAACATTCAATAAACCTTTAAATAAGCTCAAGGATCTTAAACTTACTGCGCTTGGAGCCCTCCAGAACGGGGCAGCCAGCATGTAGACTGCGATTATCCTGTGCCAAGGATCGATGTAGATTAAACCAATTGACCAAGGCGCCTTTCACGGGCTTCACAAATACATTGAGTTTGGGAAACACCGTGTAGCCGCCTTGCTGCACGTCCGACAGCTGAAATTTTCTCGATTTTAATTTGAGCTACAGGCTGCAGTCGCTAACACTTACATAGAACATGTTCGTAGAGATGCGATCGCCGCCCAGTATGTAACGGTCGGGCAGCTTTGAGAAATAATCAAAGTGCGCTGCGTATTGACCCCCAATGCCATAATTGGCAATCTGCATTTCTTCGGCATTTTGCATATCGAAGCCAGAAATGGCACCGACTATGTTGGCCAAGGACTTGATGATATAGCTGGTGTAGTTTTGCCAAACTTGTTGACTAACGCGAGTGTCCGTCACTACGTTCCCTACTACCATGGAACGAAAACTGTCAAATTGATCAGACTGTTCAATGACGGCATTTATTTGTGCGTCGTTGAGCACGTCATAGTACATATTTATGTCGGGATTCAGATGCACTTGCTCCACTTTCAATGGCGATAGCTTGAATCGGGGATGACGGTCAAAGTCCAAATAACAGCGCAACGATTCACTACCGGAATCTGGCTCTGGTAGTCGCTTGCCCTGGCACAGCCGCGAGAAGTTGGCAAACAACGCAGATTCCGTTGATTCTTTGGGACTCTTTGGCATGTTGTACTCTAAGGAGTCGAGTATATAGCGCGCCGGGTGGGGTGTTGTTGGTGAAAACCAAGAAAGCAACTCTTTCAATACTTCCACGGCTCGTTCTTTTTGGCCCAGCGCAATGTACGTCAAGGCCAAATATTCATAAACCTCAGCGGCCATTCGCCGGGCATTCTCACCATCGACGTCTTCGAGCAAACTGGATGCCAACTGCAGCCACTCGAGGGCGCCTTGGTATTTGGCCAATTCATAGAGCTGCACGCCTATCTCAAAGCAGTCCTTCCAGAGTGACGAACTGTCCGCTTGGATGCTATTAGACACTCGATCGACCAGTTCGTTGGCCGTAAGATTGTACACATGTTGCAGTCGCTCCAATCCTTTGACTGCACCCTGAAGCTCCTCTTGATTTGGTAAGCCAGGGTATTTGATCATTTCGTCCACTGTAGTTCTATATTCTGCATGCGAATAAATTGCGAATATGTGAATAAATATGTAAATGCTGTACCTCTGTCTATGCGATACATACCATCTTTGGCCTGGTGTGCAGCCAGCAGCTCGCTCACTTCTGCCCAATCTACGACCAGGCGTTTGATCAGACGGAACGCCTGCAGCGGCTGATCCAAGTACTCCTCATGCTGCTCCAATTGCAGCCTGGTTATTGCATGCTCAGTCTTCACGCGGTTCACAAAACTGGCGATTGATCAAACAATAAATTCCAATGGTTGCCATAATCACACTCTTCTTACCTGCGAAGCATGTCGAGCTGCTTTTGCCCCTTCATCAAATAGTCATCCGTGGCAGAGACCAGCTCCCCCTCCACTTGCCCCAATAGCTGCATCTTATCAATGGAAGAGTAGTACTCGCCATACACAGGGGTCCAGATGAGACCAGGCAGCACCAAGCACACAAAAATTAAGCTTGACTCGAACATTCTCTAAGCTACAATCGATCCAACGAACTGCGAGCTACTGAACACATTTCCAAAAAACTGCCAAGTGTCTGCTGATTATTTGTCTTTCTATCGCCCCAAATATCGTTCAGATCTCTGTTTTCGAAATGGGTCTAGAAGTGAACAACTGTTTCGTGTAGCCCAATAAGCAAACAAAAGCGTGGGTTTTCTACCATTAAAACCTTTTTTATTTGAACAGCATGCACGGAAAACGAATATATGTGGAATCTAATGGGCGATGCCGTGCAGCTACTTTCTGGCTGTGCGAAATGCCGTAAATCAGATACTTCATCCCGTTAACCGCGCGATGTTGCGCGATGTTGCCATGGCCACTGGCCAATGGCCACGCGGCTGCACTATGCAATCTCGTAAATTCAATTTGCCGCAAGCGCTGAAAAGTATGCAACGTGCAGCATGCAGCATGCGCTTTTCGCCAAGCCTCTGTGCACTGCAGCACGCACACAACACAACCACAACCACGCCCACACCACACACACCCACACACGCACGCACACGTGCATAAATCATGCATGTTGGCAAAATACGAGCATTTACGCTGCTTATCAAAGTTTAATAAAGCAGACAACAAATCACTATGTTGAAGCATGCAGGTCTCCTAGCAGTCAGGGGAGGACTACAGCGTATTTATACGAGAGCACTCAAAATGGAATTTTCCATTTAATCAAGTCTCAAAAAATTAAATATTTATAGTTTAACGAGCTCTGCATATTTTATGCTCATGTTGATTTAAAATAATGGAATTGGTATTAAAATAATCACAATGAAAGCCCAGCTGTATTATTAATATTTGGATTTCAATAACTCAATCAGACATTGCCGCATTCCTTCGGGCGTTAGGCCACAAGTCAACCTTTCCATATGCAATACAACAACCAAACGCTACGAAGATGGACTAAAGCTGACTCAGCGACCTATTTGAACGACACTGACAGCTCATCCAAGCCAAATCAGAAATATAACAAAAATAAAAATTGTATAAAATATACAAAACTTTGCGGAACTAACTCTTAAGCCATACGAGATATAATTTATATAATATATAATTAGATTTGAAATCGATAGCAATAAAGCAGGAATAGTTATCGATTATTGGATATGCGGGAGCTACACACGAATCTCGAATAAAAATTCCAATCTCGGGCTTTTATAGATGCTGAGATCGATGCGATCACGCAGACGGACGGAGCTAAATCGACGCGACTTGCCGTCCTGATCAAGAATATATACACTTTATGGGGTTTGCCACAGCTACTTCTGTCTATTCATGACATTTACCAGAACCATTTCCCATTTTCAATGTGATCAAACAATGCCCAACCAATTTATACATACCATGGCTCAAGTTCCCAGTCGACCATCCAGTCACAAATAAAGAAAGCAAATTAGTTTTTTTTCGTATTCTCATTGATCGCATCATTTCATTGTGATTATTTCTAGCTTTTGTTTCTTATATTTTGTACAAAAATGAGTAAATTGAATAATAGCATGCCTAAAATAACACTAATGCCAAGTAATGGTATGTAGTTGAAAGAAATGTGGGTTGTTAGCAGCCGGTGTTCCAAATTTTAGATGTTGTAGTTGAATATTTACAATAGGAACAGAATTTATGTTGTACGGCTAGCAAGTCCTTAGAGATATGTTAGAGCGCAAAGTAAGTAGAAGTAGAAGTAGGAGCAAGGGCAGCTGGTAAATGAGATTCCAGCAACAGCTTCAGAGTTTTCACTAGATGGCAAAATCACCATGATCCGCAACCAGGTCACAGGGTCTCCTGAACTCCTGGCCACGTTCATGTATCCACTTGTTCGACACTGCAAAATACAGAGCATTTAGCTGGATAAAAGATATAGCGATAGCTTCAACCTACCCCATTTGCTGCCTGTGAGCACGGGACACGCCGCATGTCGCGTTCGTACATCTCCTTCGCCGGAGCGATGCAGATTCATCCAAAATGCAGCCGTACCCTAGAAACAAAATCAGACTTAATAAGTCAGACTTGACTGGAGCAGATCTGCTAGACATACCTTTTTGGGCCACAACACCGCATGCACCGAGGTGAAGACTGTAGCACCACCCTGCTCCACGTCGCTCATCTGCAAAGCAAGCACAAGATGTGAAATGGAAAATAAACCTTGAAAACATAAAGTTCGAAACTCACGTAGAACAACATTGTAGCAATGCGATTGCCCAGATTGAGGCCTTCGAAGGCCCGTATCTCCTCGCGCTAAAAGAGACGAGTAAACGAAACGTTAAATTCTTTCAGTGCGTGCTTCAAATTAAAACTTACTCGTGCAAAATCAAAGTGCGGCTCGTAATGGCCGCCAATGCCGTAGTTAACCACTTGCAGCTCCTCGGCGGAGTCCATGTCGAGGCCACTCATGTCGGCGGTGCGCTGCACCACTGTGCCGATGACGCGATGCTCGGCAGTCTTAAGCCAGGCGGATTTACTGATGCGGTAGTTGGCCGTTTCAAGGGCGCCTGTCACCGAGTTCTGGACGGTGGCGCGGCGGAAACGAGGACGCGCCATGCGCTTCAGTACTTCAATCTCGCTGTCGTACATGGCGTCGTGATATATTACTATGTAGGGATCCATGAAGGCCTCCTCCAGCTTAAGCGGCGCCAGCCTTAAAAATGGCACATTGTTGCTTACGTAACGACAGCGCAGTGGACGAAGGACGGAGGGCGAAGGCTTAAGCTCGCCGCGACAGAGCATTTCGTAGGACTTACGTTCGGTCATGTCAAAGATGCCGGGATCACTCTTGGCCACGGGCTAGCAATAAAGAGGGGTTAATTGAAGCACTAACTGAAAGCAATTATAAACTAAATACCAGATCGGAAATGGGCATGGCATCGGAGCCGTCGTCGCCTTTCATCTTTCGCATCTCCTTCAGTTGGGCAATTTCCTTCTCGTAGAACTTCTTGTTACCATTGGCCCGTTCGTGGTCGGGCAGCAATTGCAGCAGCTCGTTCGTCATGGTGAGTGCACTCTCCACATTGCCTGCTCGGCCATATTCCAATTGATAAGGCAATTCCAGGTTCCATTGTTGAGTGATGGGCGGAACAGTTGAAGAGTAAGAGAGAGAGAAGATTGAATTAATTACTGCCTAAAAGCCGGCAACAGTTTTTCTTTACAGGTGACCTTGACTTTTAATTGCTCGCCGTCAATCAGAGGTGCTCAACAATGAGCGTACAGTGAACACTCCAAATCAGAAACACTTCTACATTTTAATATCTCTTTTTGTTTGTGGAAACAACGAGGGACATACACTTCATTGAATTTTCAGAGTGATATTAATAATAAATGGGGCTTTAGCTCCCATTGCTGCTTCACAAATGTTAAACGCATTATAAATTATTCATAGGTGGCACGATGTGCCTCCCCGTCACAACGGCACAACGTATGGAAAAACGGCCAGCAAATAAGTTCAACTTTCGTATATGCAATGGCAGAAAGGCAGCAAAGAAAAACTTTTTAAGGACCTTGAGGCCCAGAGTTTTCCTTGTTGGCTTTCTTGCAGAACTTTTCGCATGGACATTGAAATTATTCACATTTATTTATGGCCCAGCCTTGCCTTGGCAGTTGCTCAGTGGCAAGTCCGTTTGCTTTTCGCCTTAATTAGTTTGCCAGACACTTTAAGCGGCGCACTTAATTTCAATGAAATTTTGGTTGCCTCCAATCCCGACCTGGCTGCGAGCTTAAATTTGCATTTTGCATGCCAATGCCAGCCATTCTGACACATGTGCCCTCGACAACGGGTTTTCTGTGTCAGCTACGTGGATGACAGTAGACATGGCGAAGAGAGCGAAAGCGGGGGCGTGGCGTGGAAGCCCGCCCACAAATACTGCGAAGTCAGTTTTTTACGCAGCGCAGAAACTACAGCGAAGCCAAATAAAAAACATGAAGCGCGGAAGCTTAAAGCTGCGAGATACTCTGTTCGCAGGGTACTTAGTAAGGAGTTTGTTTGTTGTTTATGTGTGTTATAAATAATGACAAGGTAATACTTGTATTTAAATATTTGTACAATTTTAGAAAACCTTTGAACTGATCCTAGATGATTCAGGCTAGAGCTTGATAGATTTTAGCAATATATTCGACATTAGTCAATTAAAACCTGCTGAGATTCCAGTCCAACATGCCCATGAGCCCTTCAGGACAGTGGGTATATTGAAAACCAAGGTCATATCAGCCATTAGGGCTGATATAGATAGTCACAGATATAGATACAATCGCAGTTCGAGATACATGCAGTGGGCTAGCTTTGTCGCAGTGACAAATGGGCGTAGCAAGGTGGGGCTCAGGGCACGGGCATATGCCATACTTTCTTGGATACCTGCCTGGGTAATGCGACATTAATAAACCGCACTTCTGCTTGCGCAATTACGTGCAGTTGCTGTGGTGCAGTAGCTACGTGATTCTGTGTTTATCCTAAGGCTGCACGGCTTAAGCTGCGGCTGTGGATACGTTACAATATTGTCATTGCTTCTACGGACAGGCAACAATTTTTCGCACTTAACGAGCGTCGGGCTTAATCGCCGGAGAAGTGCTGCTTGGCTCGACTTGGCTCACCTGGCAAGGGGCCAGCAAAGTGCAATTTCCTGCTGTCAAATGGCCAGGTGGCAGAGAGATGCAGGAAAAATGCGGCAATGGCACTGCTGTCAAGGGGTGTCGAAAGTGTCATGCAAACGAGTCGAAACACAACATAAGAGCTACAGTAAACACCCACGCAAATGTCTACTGGCAACACCCCATCAGCAACAAACAACATCCAAAATGGCCATTAACAGCCGAGCACGTAGCTCCGTGTACTTACCCTGCTTGTAGGTGCTGAAGGCGAGGTATTCGAGGACATCAGCACGCGTGAAGCTTTGCGTTTGGTTGTGCGGCTCCTCCAGCATGCGTGCCATGGCCTCGTTCATCCAGAGCACCGTATGGTAGTAGTCCCGATTAACGTACGACTGGCGGCCCAACTCGAAGCAGTCATCCGACGACATTGCCGTGCTGCGTAATAGTGTGTGCCCCAGGCAGCTTAGACCCGGTCCAATCGTATGGCAACTAAGCTATTTGCGTACACTCACCTGTACTGTATGCCGTTCAGCTTGCCACGTGCCACACTGGACGTGTCCAGCTGGTAAGTATCCTGTAGGCGGAGCAGCGCCACAGCAGCCCCATTGAGGTCCTCGTCCGATGGGAACTTCAGCACATTGCGATATTGCGTGAGATTTTGCACAAAATCTTTAGAGTGTAGAAAAGCAAACAGTTCAAATCGGATTACAAAGTTTTCTCAGTTTGCGAACAGGCGACATCCTACCTGCGCCCACCTCGTGTCCCATCAGATTCTCCACCTGCCGCCAGTCTGTGGTCAGGCGCTTGGTCAATAAATACGCATTGATGGGGTTCGATACGTAGGCAGTTATATCGCTAGCCGCATCCGCATGCTCTCTTTGGTACTCATCCATTTTGCTAAAGTGAAGAGTTCAGAGTTGAGCAAAAAGTTTAATTAGCAATTTAATTACGTCTGAGCAACTACAAACTTAATTACGAATACATGTGCGGCTTAACTACCAGAGAGCTTTCAGCAAACTGCACTATGGCTCGGGCGCAAATCAAACAAACACTTTGAAAAGTTGCAGCTAGCAAAATGTTCGTTTTATTTATAATTAATGAAATTAAAGCTCGGTCTACTCGAAAAGTTTTTAATTTTCTGCAGCCAGCCAGACTGCAAACTGTTTCGCATTTCATATTTATTTTTACCATCAATGAAACCTAAAACCAAGCTGAAGCCCTGTCAATATTCGACGTTCAAAATGATTTTACTTTAAATATGAAGTCTATGGCGCGAGACACAGCATAAAACATTGCAAATAACTGTACTTTATATATATGGGATTGCAATTTAAAAATGATTTCATTGATTTAATGCAATTTCGAAATTATATGACGAGTTAAACAGAGCTGTGAGGCCTGAAGGTAATTCAAACCACAGTGTTTTTCTTTTGTAATTAGTGATGGATAATTAAAAATTAATAATAAAAAAGTATTTATTAAAAGAGCTCTAGAAGGTACTCTGAAATCAGCCAACATACTCCAATCATTGCAAGCTACTTCTACACAAACATATCCAACGGCGCTTGGGCTTTACTAGGGGAAATCATTTGTTGAATAACTTTTATTCTAGAAGGACTCTCTTGGCATCCACAAGTCTCTCGAATTTAAGAAAATTGCGAATTAGCAAAAAGAAATATACATTTAACATTTGTGAAGTCTTCAGACGTTGGCCTGATTAAGAATATATAAATTTATGCTTTATAGTATAGAGAATCTACACTTTATAGTATAAGGAATTCATACTTTATAAAACATAATATATACTTTATATATAGAATATATACTTTATAACTTCCTTCTTCCAGCAACAGCCATGACATAAATTTATAAAATTTTAGCTAAATGTCATTAGCTACAAAATCAAGTTACAAATTCAAACAAAATTTTATTTATTAAAATGAGTGAAAAGTTTGAGTTTGTTAACTATTTTGCCGTTTAACTTAGCTTACAAAATTATGGTTAAAGAAACTCCTAGCAAAACTCTATTTGTGGAAAGTGAAACAAAAGCGAAAGAATGAAATAAAACGAGGAATGATTAGAGATGAAGCAAGACAGTTTACAATGATAGGTCTTTAGGCTAAAAGCAAATCAAGCAAGAATATGAATTAAGCTCAGAGCTGGGATTCTGGGAAAAAACTTAAACTAAGCATTAATTAAGACAGTCAGACAGAGCGCGCTAAGCCTCGCTCTAAATAACTAAGATAACATCTTGAATATGTGCAAAAGTAGAAAAGCGTTAAGAAATGCTTTACTTTTGTGCCGAATAAGTTTATTGTATGTGGGAGTCTTAAGCAAATGTGGAACAATAATATATAAAATAATTTAAAGTTTCTTAACACTAAGCTTGATGTCTTACAACTAATTACAACCCATGTGTCTCAAGGTGTGCCCCAAGTCTCGATATTTACAGTCTTGAAAACAAGATTCAGTGCAGGAATTTCGTACACGTCTCCAATTACGAATAGTTTTTTGGTCTCCTAGCCGTTGCGGGTGCCGCTCGCTAAAAAGAAGAGAGAAACTAAGACTACGACTAATTACGTGCTAGGCTAAGACTATCAGAACAGCTACTAGGCCACATTGACGCGGTTGTCTGGCGGCGGGCGATAGCACCAGAGGCTGCCAATGACGCCCAGGCCAATAAAGAACATGGTGAAGGTGGACAAGCCCAGAATGACACCCGTGGTGACATCGTGAAGCGGCAAGCCCGGAAAGGGATCCAGCACAAGGATGAGCAGCAGACCGCAGCACTTGAACAGGCAGAAGATGGTGACCAAGATGTAGCCGGAGGTGTAGCTGCGATTGGGCAGCCACTCGCATTGCCGCGACCGAAAACCAAGAAAGCCGAGCCCCATGCCGCAAAAGGAGGCGACCAGTCCAAACTGCAGGTAGAAGGACTTGCCGAACTAAAGTAAGGAAAGTGCGAATTAGTCAAGGATCAGCGAGAGAAGCGCATTGAGCACACTTACGTGGGCTATCATGTAAATGATGAGGCCGGCATTCATGGTGCTGCCCAGCACAAGCATCAGAGAGACAATGGCGAGCGTAATGGTGGCATTGGCCAGCTTCTGCGGATACGAGTTGTTGTTGACATGCGACTTGCCGTGCAGGCTGCTCAAATCCTGCTCCTGGCCCTGCACGCGCGGACTAATCACCGCCATGGTGCGATCACTGGCCAGCGGCTGCTGAACGGCCGCTGGTGCCGGCTTCACGGTCTCATAGTGCAGTCGCTGCGGCGACAGTCGCTGCTGGCGCAGCGGCAGCGCTGGCGAAGGCGCAACTGAGACGGTGGTGGCCTGCTGGTGCAGGCTGATGTGCTGCTGACTCTGGTAGAGCTGTAGCTGACGCTCGCGCTGCAGCTGCTCGTGGTGGGCTGCGTTGCGCGGCGTGGAATGGGCCAGGCGCGGTGGTGGTTGCATTTTGCGGGGTGTGGTAAGTAGCTCGTGCAACGCTCGCGTGGCAGCTGCCGCATTGCGCTGCTGCGGGGTCGATGTACGCATGCTGTATGGTTGATTCAGCTCTGTGTTGCTCAGGCAGGTCTCCTGCTGCGCTTGCGCCGAGTCCTCCGCCAAGTAGTCGTCGTCTGCTTCCGTCGGTATGACCGCATAGCGATGTGCGCGTCCATTGTGCATCTGTATGATTTCCTGGTTTTCGTCCACGAGCTCCTCATCCTCCGCTGTGGGCACCATCTGGTAGCGCTGGTTGCTGTTCTTGTCCACAATCAGAAAGGTCTTGCTGCCAAAGTCGCTGGAGAAGGCATGCTTGATCTTGGGAGCAGGCTTAGGCGGCAGCGCACTCAACGTGGGCGGCAAGCTGGCGAACTGCGTCTCCTGCTGCTGATGTGGCTCCTCGTGAAAGGAGTGCGGCTCCTCGTCCGACTGCAGGCCATGCCGCGAGCTATACCGATCCAGATTATCCTGCGAACGCGCCAAGCGCTGGGCTGCCTGACCGGGCACAATGGCATAGCGACTGGCCACGGCGCCTAGATCTTCCAACGGCACCAAGGCATAGCGGCCACTGGATGACTGTTGCTCCTGCTGCTGTTGCTGTTGTTGCTGCTGTTGCTGCTGCTGCTGCCTTTGCTGTGGTTGTTGCTGCTGCTGTTTCTGTTGCTGCTGGTACTGTTTACGCGTCACCGATCGCGTCGACATGCTACGCTGCATGCGCAGCGGCCCCTCGCGCGGGTCGCGACAGGGTGCGACCGGTACCTGACCGGAGCGAGACACTGCATTAAAGTTAAGCTGCAGGCTGCGATTGTAAATTGATTCAACGCAACTGCTGGGAGCCACCGGATAGAATTCGCTATTCTGGCAGAACGCCGGATTCGTATAGTTGTGCCTAGACATGGCCGCGCACTGTACTTGGTTGGGTTCGGTTTTGTGTCTCAAAGGTGTTCACTGTGCCACTGATCTTGACTGCTAACTGCGCCTGCTTGAGTGATCCGCACGGCACGACAACTACGTCTCGACTGAACTGCGACGCTGCTTGCCAGTCGCTCCTCGACTAGCAATTTCCTGCGCCGGCGCGCAGTCGAGTGGATCGGCAGCGACGCGTGCGTTGCTTTGACCCCCCTTCGAATAAAATATAACCATTTACTTGGCTTATATACAAAAGCATACACATAATAATTGAGCTCAAGACAACTGTAGAACAACAACAACAACAACAACGACAACAGCAGCAGCAGCTAGCGGCAGGCGTCGTTTGGCGCGTTCCGTTGTGCTGGAAACATCTGCTCCTGTTCCTGCTGCTGCTGCTGCTCACGAGGGTTGAAACGAATTTCGACTACGCCGCAGCCGGCGTTGCAAGCCGTTTTATCAGCATTTTGAATTTATATTTACACAATTCATAACAGCGAAATAGGCGTCGCCTTTATACTGTCGAGTTTATATATATATATATATATAAAGCTATATACAGACCGGCTGGGTAGAGAACTTCCCTGGCTCAAGCGGCCGTTACATTTGCGGTGCGCTTATCGAGAGTCAATAGTGTGAGCCGAGACGCCCACGACACAGAGCTCACTATGTCCACGCCGTGCATTCGTTGGCCCTGTATGGGTGGCTTATCTATATTGGCCAACTTAATTGGATTTCGACCCAGAGGCAGAGACAAACGCACAAAACAACAAATCAAATCGAACTTTGATGCTGCAGGGACAGCTGACAGCCGACTGTAGATACCCAGTGGCCCCCAGGCTCCACTTCAGTCTATGCTGAAATTTATGCATTGACATTCATGCGCTGTCAAAGGAGCTCGCAAACGCTCATCATTATCAATGAAACAGAGCGTGGCGCGGCATTCAGCGCTGGGAAATGCTGGCGTAACCAACTGATGCCAAATGGAAAAATTAAACTCGGCATTAAATTATAATTTGCGACGAGCAGAAGGAGCCAGCAGTACCTGGCCCTGGCACGCGCCTTGTACGAGAGCGAGAACAGATGAAGAGCAGCGAGCTGCAAGGATGCGGCTGCGGTGCAATGACAGCAAGGATCTTCAACAACAGCTGACAGCTGTTTTGGCAGCCCCCCTCTGCGCTGTCCTTTTGCTTTTTGTGTCGAGCCAGACGCTGAGGCAGGGGCAGGGGTAGGGGTAGTGGCAGCGGATCAAGTAAATAAGATAGATCCTGCTTGGGCTCCTGCTCCTGGCCCTGGCCCTGGCCCCGGCTATGGCTTGTTTTGCTGCTTTCTGTTGGCATATTTGATTAGGGGAGTTGCCCTACCGCATCCGCTGTGTCCTTTATCCTGCATCTACGTCCTTCCGCTGCATGCAGCGGCAACAATCATTTACCACACAAATACGCTTAAGTATATAAGCAGCATATGTGCCAGGGGTAGCTCAAGATATGCAGAGTAAATAACGTTCACTGTGTGTTTGGCGCCGCATAAATAGACGAGAACACGCATACATATACATAGTTGTGCATACATACATACATATACATATATGTCTACATCATACTTTATATGTAGCTGCTTGTCTTCTGCAGACGCAACAGCTGCCACACGCACGTGGCTAAAATACTGGTGACAGGCACTGTAATTATGAGCATACCTTATAGTCTCACCTGCCGTGTCTAGTTTGCTCTGCATCATTTACATAAGCGAGCTAGATTAATTTAGTCGGGCTTGTCTCGAAAGTATTCTGCGCTTAACTACTGGAAAAGCGTGCATTATCTAGCAATTGGCTGACAAACAATTTTCATTAGCTGCACAGATTCACAAACAAGCTGCGATTTGCGTTTACTTTTTATTTGAGGTTTTCTCAACCTAGGAGCACAACCTTGAGCAGCGTATTTTATTGTCACAGCTCATCCATTTTATATGGATAATTCTTATATTCTCTCTGATATATACTGGCTGTCTAGCTATCACAAATCAGTTGACGAGCATGCCCTGAAACTGGAATGCCCAGAGCGAACCATCAATTATGATGCCAGTCTATTAAAATCATAAATCCTTGATAAATGAAGTCAGCAGAAAACCATTTCAAAGGGGTCAACTCTCAAGTTTACTGATATCAAAGCTTGAAACTTGATCCGCTGCAAGTTGTTTCTATTACACTACACAACAAATCAACAAATCTGCCAAAGGCAGGTTAGAGCTAACAACCACCTTAATATATGCAAGATAAGCACTCAAAGACACTCGATGCATGCTTATTTGTTAAGATGGATTTGCTGGGTACTCACTTCTTCAGATAGCTTAGGCGGTCCTCCTGCACGCGGATGTAGCCTTCCAGATTGTTTATCAAAACAGATTCAGTCTCAAGCAGTTCCTCCATCTCAGCCAGCGCTGTGTATACCTCGCCGTGCACCGTCACGCCAGTCAGGGCGAGCACAAGGACGCCGAGCGCCAACTGCAGACGCAGACAAGACGACATCGTGCAGCCTGCAAAGTAAAGCAAGGACAAATAGTTTAGACATTTCAATTGCATTTTATGTAAGTGGATTCAATAAATGTTTAGCATCTCGCTAATTTGCATGTTTTTATTTGCCACTTGCCAATTGCCAGCAGCCAACGGCTGGGAATTTGATTTGGTCATCGATTTTCCATTACCCACTGGCTCTATATTGAAAGCAAACTCACTGAGCTCGAAATCAGCTTTCATATTGATTGACATCCTGCTTCCCGACTGATGCGATATGCTTGACTTTAACAGTTAAGAAGCGATTTTTGCTCGGAAATCGCCTTTTCAATGTCTTTTAATGAGCTTTATTTCTTTAAATTGGCCAACGTTTTTGTTTTATGACATTCGGTTTATGGCTCGTTTCTCTTAATAAGAAGCAAAATAAAGTCAATAACAGTGAGAGTGAGTGCGCAATGCATAGCTAATAGACGACTATTAGACACCCTGTACATGCGAGCAGAAGCTCTAAAATTTATATTTTCAGTTCTTAATTTTAAAATAATTCTTAACTTAATTAACTATAATAAAAGCAATATGTATGAACTATGCAAACTAAATATTGTTAAATACTTTAAGAGTCTATATATACCGTATATTAAACCAATTTGGTATGCATTGATCTAATTTATATTTCCGTATATTAATAATGTCTTAGTTTTCGATTTATAATTCTTCACATACTTATATAGACATAATCTATAAACTGATTGACAAATATTAATATAACCATGGAAAAAGTGAAGTAAATAAAACACGCCCAGAACATAAGTCAAGTTAATTTATTGTTGCAAATTTGATTTGTTATTCGGAGCTTGGCACACTGCAGACATACAGTATTTATGGCTAAGAGAGATGATTATAATGAAACGGACAAACCTGATTTTATCTATGAGCAAATTGAAATGGGATATACTCAATATATCTCAAGTGAGCTCAATTATAATTACGAGTTTGGCTGCGCTTGATTTTGGATTCCCGTTTTGACTTAACGGTAATTAGTGGAGTTATCGAAACATCTTGTTGCTTCAGCTTATACCGAGATTAATTTTATATTGCGATTAATTAGTAACTTGTTATTTAATGGAATGATTTATGCTTGTCCAAAGAGACTGAATATGCATTTAAAGAGATTTTCATTCAACTCGGGCAGCAGCTTCTGCTTGCCTGCTCACAAGGACATCACACGCATCGAATACCTCATTTAATTAATCAAAATTAATTAGTTCGTCTTCTGGTCTGCCGCATGCCACACATGTAGCACCTCACGGGCAACACTCACACTTGCAGACACACATTTACACAAGACCAAGCAGACCGCACACTACTCAACATGGCGCAATATTACACTTGCACATGGATGCTAATTGGCCACATTAATCATTGGCAAATTTGCCTCAGTTGACAAATTTCAAACCGAAGATGCCTCCAGCTCCAACTCGGCCGTTGCTGTTGTGCTAAACCGGTTGCCTCGCCCGATCGTTAGATAATATAAATCTTTTTGCGCCAATCGATGGCGCACTCTAAGCGAGAAAGCGAGAAAGACTATATCTTCCACAGCTTAAGAAGTAAAAGACAGCATTTTGGAGAGAAATTGCTATTGATCTGCTTTACCGATTGCCAACCTATATATTTATCTATATCTTTTGCACTTTTAGAGGCAAAGTCTACCAAGGGAAGTTCGCGCAGATTGATTTGCAGATGTTATTTTATTACTTTTTTTAAAGAGTTTTCTATAACTTTAAAGACATATCTTTTTTTTGTTCAAAAGTTTTTATTTGACAATAAAAGTTTCATTCTTTCGTTGAAGACGAAAAAGACATATAATAATATTATTAAATAATTTTAAAAAATTTATATTATATAATAGAATTGGTTAATTTTATATTGTGAGCGAGTATTACGCAGTCAGTTAGTCAGTTGCGCCAGCAACAATTTTATTTATTTCAATTCAAATGCAGAATATATTAAATTTTATTTTCAAAAGTTTTTATCATGACATGAGTAAAACAGATCTTGATTATCAGCTTACGAATTGTGAATTGAGAGAACGATAAAAATCTTTTTTATTACTGTTTGTTTTTTTTTTTCATTGTTTAGACATTTCTTTGATATTGATATACAGATGTCTATATATGATAGATATCATATACATATATATGTCATATTTATACATAAATATCGTATATTTTCTTTAGAAATAACTTTGTTGTCATTAAATTCTCTTAAAACTTAAAACTTTCATTGAAACTAATTCTAATAATGAAATTAATTCTGATAACGATTTATTTAACTATGATAAATGAGGCTATTAAGTAGAACAGTTTTTAAATCCTAGTTGCATTTGTAAGTAATTTTATTATTTTTGAAAATTTCAGTTCTTAGATTGGACATAAAGAAACCCAAGTTAAATACTACATTCATCTGACATGGCAAAAAGCAACAGTTGTAGGTTACCACAACAATCTTTAGCAATCTGCCACATTTATTTAAGCATAGTTATATACAAATTTAAATACTAGTCTAGTCAGCATTTGAATTGTTCTATAAAGTCTTAGGCAGTTTTCTAATTAATCCCAATTTATAACCAATGCGACATTATTGGAAACATAAAATGTGTCCCCTTCAAAAAATGTGGTCGTCATTGGATCGTTAAACCGGTTTAACATAAAACGCCAGCTGGAATGGATCAACGTCTCTTCTGATTAGAACTGGGTACCAGCACAAAAGACAACGGAGAACAGAATGTGGGACAGTTAATGGATGGATGCAGCAACGGTTTGGGTCGACTGTTAAAATGTTCTAATCACAACATCGAATTAAAACAGCTCTTTTATTAAATTTTGTCCCGATTGCAGCATAGAACTATAAAGTGGAGTTCAAAGAACTTGGGCAGTCGCATTGATATGCAAATGTATCTGATGGATACGCGTCGCTGATGCTGCATGTTCGCTGAGTGAACAAGCGCGGCATTGTTTCTTGCTCGCTTTCATGGTGAAACACTTAAATCATTAACGGTACTCGCCAGAATATTGCCAAACTCGCACGCATTTATTGAAATGCAAATATTATTGCCCCAGCGCTAACTGTTTGCATTTGCTGCAAAACTGAATGAAACACGTGCGGAATGTTTTCTTTTAATGAGTTCACTGAACTGTTTGTTGCTTATTTGGTTTTTTGGTCTCTGCTTTTGTTGTGCTGACCAATTTCACCTGCACCTTCGCATCTTTTTCCACGAGAGGCAAGAAACGTAACTTCGGGGCCAGCAAACTTTTGCACAGGCAAAAAAATGTAGGGCATAAAGAATTTATGATTGAAACAGCAAGAATTTTACCACATTCTATTTTTCCATTTTTCATTTTTATTTCAGAGTATTAAAAAGCGAAACGAAATTGTTGTTTGAAGCAAAACTTTTATTTGGATGCCTCGCCCTAAGGGTTTCGATGATGACTTCATCGGCATTACAAACGGTTGACAAAACACTTCTTGGAAATCTTTTTCTCTTCTATTCCATGAATGAATATATGTTGTCAGATAATTTTCTATATAAATAAATACATATTCCTTCAGGATATGAAATCTTTTGAATACCTAGCTCATTTGTTGAGGTATAATGCATAAACATCAACAAAATCTGGCAGACACCAAGTGAGGGCCATCCCCTAGTCCAGCAGCAGAATACAATTCATTGTTGTTAAAATGTTGACTCGTTTTGGGCTACTTAAATGAGACTATGCACTGGAGAGCTGCATAAATTGTCGATTAAAAACAAATAAATTGCACAATCGAGACTAAGCGAAAATGTCAACCAGGCCATTGTCCAAGACTCCCCCATGGAAATGCCGAAAGGCATTAATAAATAATGCGCTGCAGTCGATGAAAGTTGAATTTATTAGAGTTTAAAATGCAAATGAACCCAAAGAATCGTTAAAAGATACTTGAGACTCGAATTATAATAATATGCCAATAATAAAGTAAACATGACTATAAACAATATTCAGAATTATGTTACGCATGTTTCTGGTTTATGAATAGCTGAATGTTTTAATTGATAAATAAATATATTATTAGCCGAAGCTTAAGCGACAATTTAATGCGTTTCATTTCGATCAAGTTTCAAATGCTAAAGTTCTCGCGCACAATGTGAACTGCTTTCTTGACTTGGGTAGTGAAGAAAGCAAATTGATTTGAAATTTGAAATATATACTATATAATATATACAACTCACTCTTCTAGAGTTCTTTAGCTTGAGCAAAATATGTATCACATCTATCTGTTAGCTAACAAGAACCATATATGCCCACTGTGTGCGGGGCAGAGCGTGGCAAGTATCAAAATTATAATGCTAAAAATATTACAATTTTCTCTGGAATTGAAAGAAAAACCTTTGCATAAGTAAATTATGTTTTGGTGTCGTTGAAAAAGTTTGCCAATAAATTAAACAAATTCAACTATTTAATTTTAAATGAAAACTAGTAGTAAATTTCTATATAGTAAAAGCTTTTTCCACTGTAATTTAATATAACTTTCAAGGACTATCTTGCTTCAAGCAGCGATTTAATAAATGTTTTAAGGACAGTATTCCCTATCAGCTCTACGTATGCCTGACTTTTATTTAAATTTATAACACCAAACACACGGAAAAGAGAAAAATGAAATTTTATATTACAAAACATTTAAAAGTAAATTCACAATTTTTTTAAAAATGTATTTTCTTCTGTTTTTCTTGTGAATTTATTGCTATTTGATCACCACAAACATATTTCTCACGTTTCACAGAAAACTGAGAGGCGCCCTGTGATCGTAGCATCTCGTGCAAAGATTCCTTTTAGAGCTTATCGAATTTTCTTTTATTTTGGAAATATCTATTTCAAAAGTTGTAATTATTGCAGCGAACAATGAGCAAGTCCCCACTGTGCGCTGTCAACTCTTTCACCTGCTTCAGCCTTTGGAATGTCAGAGTTCAGCACATGTAATTAAGGTA